TAAGGAACACAAGAGCAAAAAAATGATCTGCACACCCGCCCTCTCATCCCGGAACCTGCAATAATTAATTTTTTTTAGTTGAGGTTTTTTTTGTAACAACTGAAACCAAAATACTGGAAGTCCTGTCAACAAATGTGTTATTTTTTGCCTCGAACAATTTTTGTAACATTTGCCAAAAATCACCAGAACATTATTTGTAGCAAATATATATATAATCCGATTTGATCCTACTTATTACACAAAAGATTTTAACTCAATCTATTGAAACGTCTGGGAGAAAACTTCAATCATTCTATTAAAAAATTGATTTCGAAAAAAACCCGAAACAGTTTACAGTTTTCGTTAATTTGATTTCTTCTCGGTTTTTAAATCTCCAAATGTACTCCGTAGATACATACACAATGACTACAGAACTTTTGAGTCACGGAGGGTAGCGAGAGACTACCTTTATCCTTCAAAAATTCAATAAGGAAGTAGTTTTTATGTTATAATGAGACTTCATTGATATACGGTTGTAGCGGTCTCTTACCTAACGTCTGTGAAAATTTTTACCCGTATAATTCAACAGTCCCTTTCAATTGTATGTTTGACAAAAAACTCTATTTACATGTATTTCTCGACGAGTACCACCAACAAAACAAATAATAGCTGAAGAAAGATGTTGTGAATACAATGGACGATTTCTTCGTGGTACTGGAATATCCTTTAAAAAAGAAAGAAACAAATTTTGTTTTCTTCAATTACGTCAAATAAATTCATACAATCTTTTTTTCAGCACAAGTTAATACAAGTTCAGCACTAATTATGTAAATATTTTCATCTTCTTTTAAATTATGAAATAAACTTTCATCAAATGATTCAATGACGTATATGCGTAATTGACGTTTAGTTAATAATTGTTTAGTTTCGGATAATGTTCGAAGAACTTGTTCTTCATTATTTATACATTCATATGCATAACGATCTTCAAGTGCGGAGAGTAAACGAGTATTTGAACATGCTTTACCGATAACACAAAAAGTAATTGCTTAAAAATAAAAAAATAAAGTAGAAAAACTTCGTATTTTTTTCCATCAAAAAATTTTCATTACTCCAATCTTCAGATGATGATTCATCATTTTGAGTTTTTTGAACTTCTTCCATAATAACGAAAATCAAGTTAAACAATTAATGTCTATAGAACATATTCCCGCTTTCTTTTCTTCGATCAATACATTTGCACAAAGAACAAAAAAGAGCACAAATTTCAACCAATGATATAATATCTAGATAATAAGTAAGAATTTTTACTATTAAAAAATTATTTAATTTAATAAATAAAATATTTGAAGGGAAATTCTTTTCTTTTTCTATCATTTTTTTTATTATAGTTTTATTATTTTATCCATTGTTCATTTGTTATTATCATCATCCAATCATTTTTTTTTTTCATCAATTTTGTCCTACGGTTAAAACCGGAAATGAAACAATATCCTATCAAATGTTTTTCTTCTTTATTAGAATGTAAAAAATATTTATCATAAAAAACAACATGTTAATTCAACTTCAGTAAAATCATTCATAATATTAATCATACAATTGTTTGTTTAATAAATGAAGATCCTATTCAGCTTGATTGACACATTTATAATCAAAAACAAACAATGAAAATATTTGACTTCATAATGAATAAATTCAACTATTGAATTTCATAATAAATACTGAGTAAGACCTAATTATTGTGCTTTTTATTATGGAGAATCATTATCATTGTGTTGTTTCCTGGTTACAGTATAAAATTCTATTGATGACAGAATGTTTGTTTTTTTCTTCTCCGTCGCATATTCTAATTAATAAGTTTCCTGTTTTATATTCATTATCATGTACTGTTTTAACGAGATTTCTAGTGAGCATGACTATTGACGTTTTAAAAGGAAAATCAAGGGAAAGTTTGAAGGATTCAGACATCGTTTGTTTGTGTATAATTAATCATGTGCGAAGGCCTCGCATTGTACTAATCATAGTCTGGACGAACTCGTACTATTTTAGGTAAATTTTTTATGCTTTATGATAAGCTAAATTTCATGATTTGTTACTGATGAAAAATGGAATTTCTGTTAAATAATATAGTATCACATTAGAAGCTTATTTTAAGTAAAAAAAAGATTTTGTTCAGCAATCTGATAGATATTTTCCCATAATGACAAGCTTGGTTTAAGCATAATATTAATTCTATTGAGAGAAAATCTTGTTTTGGTTAGTTTTACGTCTATCTAACTTTATTTAGATCGTAATAGAGGAAATTACGAAAGAACATCAATGTAAGAGTCGTTTGCTTTAGTTTTTAAAAATAGATAGATGTCATTGTAATTTCGCAATTACAAATACGAAATTTTTCTTATCTCTTGTTTATATTTATATATTCCTATCTCGAAGTGCATTGTTCTATATTTAACTAAACTTAAATCGACGAATCATTTTATTTATTGTAACAACGTTACATGATTCAAATGTTTTATTGCAATATTGATGAGTAGTTATTTCTTTTTATTGCTTATGCAAATATAACCGAATTGAAAAAAGAAAATAAAAATAAAAAAATATGATGTCAAATAAACGTTATATAAATGTATATACAGCATCGTAAGGCATTTATTTCGTATTGAATGGACTAATTTACCCTCCTATTGACGTCAAACATGTCGAGTTTTTACCATCTGCTTTAACAAGAGGAATGCAAAGAAAAAAAAATCATCGTCCTGTGCTTGGTTTTATTATTAAGATCCTTGTCCTTTCTATTTTTTTGCATTTGCTCTTTGTCTTATCGCATACTCTGTATGAGAAAATAGATGTATTTATATGTGGGCGTTGCTTATGTTCTTCCTGAATTTGTTACTGATGTGTAGGGTAACCGTTGCTGTTTATCTGCTTTGTTTTTTTCCTTTCCTTCTTCTCCTCTTGATAGAGGATAGTTTGGTGTAACTACAGTAGACGTACAACATACTTTTGAAAAAAACAAAAGAACAAGAGAGTACCACTTGATTTGTTTGTTGCAGTTGTAGCAACTCTTCACAGTAATAGTATTCGTGTATTGTTAAGTCTTGATCTATATTTTTTGTTGACGTAACCAATAATAATACATCGTTAGTATTCTTCATAATTTTTTTTCTATCTTACACAATTTTCTTGAGAGATTGCGTCAGCGTTTAAAAAGACAATTTTTTTTCTTTTCTTGATTTTTTCTTTTTACAATTTATCATGACACGTCATTTAAAGTACAAATTACGTATGCTTTACTCGTCCCAAGCTAGTATATATATATAAAGAGATTAAATTTTATGTCGTTGCGTTTTTCATTTCTTTTCGCTTCCTCGTCTTCGCCGCTACCGTCATCAAATGTTTGCTTCTTCACTCTTTTTCGTTTAACGACCGTCTATGTATTTGTGTGTGTGCAACTATGCAAACCTTGAAATTTATGTGTGGGTGTAGATGCGGACAAATACGTTCGCTTTTTTTTCATTTCATTCAATAGCTTCATCCATTATAATTCGATTCGTAAACATGTTTGCTTATACCATTTTTTATATTTTTCAGATTTTATATATTTATTCATTCTGCATTCTCAGCGAACTCCGACGAAGAACACTTTTTCATTATTCCATGACTACAACTGTTCCAGTTGAAAACCCGCGTAAACAAGCGGTAAGATGTTTTTGGAAATCAATTCTCATATTGAATAATTTTATTTTTTCTAGACCGAATACGTGCACGACTGCACGCTCTCGGGCGAGTTTTGCCGAGCGCAATACTGACTAGTACGCTATTCTATTAAACACTTTTATTATCGATATTATCCATATCGACATTGCTCAAATAAATTTGATTGGTGTCTTATATCAACGAAAATTAGAGACTAAAAGAGACTCAATAGAAAAATTAAAAAGGTTTTTATTAGCAAAAGGAACAAAATTAATTCAAATATGCCAATGGCTCCGTTTTTTGATTATCCGTCAATGACGGAAATTCGTTATAAAAATCTTCGTTTTCTAATTACCAATAGTCCAGCTGATGAAAATGTTCAACCATTTATTGAAGTATGAAAAGAGAAATTCAATTTTTTGAAACGTTTTTATTCTGTATTTTCCATAGGCTTGTTTAAAATATGGTGTTACAGTATTAGTTCGTGTCTCAGAAAAAACTTATGATGCAAAACCAATTGAAGCAGCCGGTATTAAAGTTTATGTACGTATTAATAATTAATGGCGTAGTAAAGAATGTTTTAACGCTGAGGCATTGCAAATAGCTTTAATACCCTGAAACTATAAATTTTGTTTTCGAAGCGTATAAAAACAAGTCGGAAATGATAAGTAAATTTACATCGTTTATTCTAATATGTTTGCTTAGTTCCTCTAGACAAGAATCGACTTTATTTATAGAAAGTAAAAATTCATATTCTTGTTTTGTTTTAAGAATCTCGAATATCCCGATGGAAGTGCACCTGATTCAATTGTTCGTGACAAATGGCTGAATATTGTTAAAGAAAATAAAAATGGTTGTATTGCTGTTCATTGTGTTCATGGTCTTGGACGGTTCGTTTATTTCTTTTCAAACCTTTCCGTTTTATTCTATATATTTTTCTTTGAATAGATCACCTGTTCTTGTTGCCATGGCCTTACGCGAAGCCGGTATGAACCGACAAGAATCTATTGATTTTGTTCGTTCACGTCGTCGTGGTTCATTTAATCTTCGTCAATTAGAATTTCTTCAAAACTATCAATCAGGTCATCGTCTTATCAATAAGCATGCTGGCTGTCTTATAATGTAATCATGTTCCTTGCTTTTGTTCCTGTTTTCTTTTCTTTATTCATTTTGTTCTCTTTTTTTAATTGATTGAGTCTCTGTGTTTTCTTTTTGTTTCCCATCTCTGATTTCATTCTATATTGTTTTTTGTTTTTTTTGTCGCTTATGTACTCAATTTATTATGCTTAAAACGAAATAAAAGATTTTTTTTTTAAATATGTTCAAATTATGTCTTTAATAGCATTTGCTTGTACAACTACACAATTACGTTTAACTAATTCGTCAAGACGTAAATTAATATTTGTTACATCGACACCACGACATGCATCTTCAATAATAAATGTTCTGTAGCCATATTCAACGGCATGTAAAGCTGTTGAATATACACAAACATCAGTTGCTATACCAGCAATAAATACATTTGTAATATTATTTTCTCTTAATATTGAATTTAATCGTGTTTCACGAATTTTTTGATTATCCCAAAATGCTGAATATGAATCAATATCACTATCATAACCTTTTAATAAATTAATAACTTGACGATTTTTATTTGATTTTATTATTGACAAATCTTTATGTAATTCAGCACCATGACTGTGTTGTACACAATGTGTTGGCCATAGTATTTGTTCAACACGCATCTTTTTTGCTTTTGCTTCATCGTCAAATGAAAATACAGCCGTATCAAATACTTTTAATTCATTGACTTTTTTAGAATCACTTGCAAGTAGATGTGCACGTAACGGTAAATTTTCATAAAATGATATATGATCAGGTGGATGCCAATCTTGAGTATAAACAACAAGATCAAACGGAATATCATATAATAATTTATTTATAATAGGTATAACATGTTCACCTTGATGTTGACTTGGACAATTTTTAAGAGCTAATGAACCATCAATAAAATCATATTGCACATCAACAATAAGTAAAGCATTAAGAGGTCTTAATCCATTACTTGTTTGATTTCTTTTTTTTAAACTATTTATTCTTTAAAAAAAGACAAAAATATAAACATAAAATAAATTTCAAAAAAATACTTTCGATGAATACTGCTATTGACATTTCCCATAGTTTCTTTTCGTTTTTTTACAACGAAGCAATATCTTAAAAAAAAACAATGTCAAACAAAACATCACGCGATGACATATATTTTGAATATAAAACAAGACACTAATGAATGATAGGTAATTTTAAGAACGTATAATCACAATAGCCACCATCCAATTTTTCTCTCTTATGTAAAAACGACGAGAAAAAAAAGCAAAAAGAAAACAGAAAGAAAGACCATCAATCATCCGTTACATTTTTTTTCTACAGGAAAATTACCTGCAAAGCAAATATAAAAAATTTTCTTGTAATTTACTGCGATAGAATATTATTCGTTAGCAATTACTATGCATAAACATTTGATTAAAAGAAGAAAAAAGAAAACGAGAAAATAATAATGAAAAGAAATATGGCGTTTGAATATTTGCGCTTTTTTTTTCTTTTTTTCTTCTTTTTGAAATTTCTAATAATATAAAAATGTCTGAAGAAGAATATTTTGAATGGAGATTATTTTATCCCTTAACATCAAATGATGATAATATTCAAAACGATATAAAAAATCTTTCAATTGTACCATTTAAATTAAATACGAAGTTAAATATATTATCAATTACAGAGGAAAAATATTCTCATCAATCATCATATATTGATATTTACTATCTTTTAGAAAATACAGATGTTTGTCTAAAACTACATGATATTGATAAATTAAATAATTTTAAAGTTGATATTGAAATTCGTAATCGTCATAAAGAACAACAATCATCTTTAATTCAACATTGGTCTATCTATGAAATAAAATATCCACGTATTGATTTACCCGATAAAATTCTTAGTAGACTTGATCAATTAACTATAGACAAAATAACTAAATGTCTTCAAATAATAATTAATAAAGAAAATCTTTTAACACAAACAGATATATCATTTATTCAAATAAAAAAACATATAACAACATGGCATATGGATGATAGTGATCGAAAAATCGAAGAAAGTGATATTTATCTTATGATTAATGATAATGTATCGTCATCGAAAGAGAAGAATGATTCATTTTATATACCTAAATATTGGCGAACAATATCAATACAAACCAGTGATTATGATAAACTTATTAAAACATTAATAACATTACAAATTGAAGATGATAAAGATTTATTAGATTATTTTTCATTTCTTATATCTCAAACATGTTTCAATTCATTTCCTTCACAACATCAACAACAATTATATACAACAATATCAACAGAAAAAGCTTATATGAATTTATTAACAATGAGTTATGCTTCATTTATTGAACTTATTCAACGTATTCATCGAAATCAAATATCAATAGAATGAATTGAAGACTAGTAGCCTCTTATATGTGATAGAAATCGGATATTACTGATTTGTAAATATAAGAAAATAAGACAGAAAGAAGTCATTTTTTTTTTGTTAACCTTGACTGATCAGTTTAAATTGTCAATCAAAAAGATTGATTGAAACTAATCAATATTTAATGATAAAAATAACATCATGAATGATTCTCTTTCTTTTCTTTATATGAGCATTTTTGGAACAAAAAAAAAAAGATTGTGTCTTGACAATGAGTTTTTGATAGATAAATGTGCATGCGCATTTTATTTGCACTCGTCATCATCTTCATCAAACGGAAATGAACGTAATGAACGAACAACTAACATTGACAACAAGGAGTGTGTGTGATCGACTTAGATCGTCGGGAAGCATTTAACTCTTTTCATCTTCAGTGTTTTCCTTTTTTCTTCTCAGTATGTTTATAACACTGATTATCAGCGATTCATTGCTTGTTCGCTGTTCCTGACGACGGTAGTGTGAATTATTATGCATTACATTTTCTAGCTAAACAACATAAACGATGTTGGAAGCAACAACTGTTGTCACCATACCCTGTTCTGTGCCTTAACATATGGACAGACAAATGATGGTTAGCGATGTTAGTGGATTCTTCTTCTCCTTCTCCTTCTCTTTCTTCTTATTTCTCATCAATTCGTTCCAGATCTCTCTTCTTTCTTACTTTGGTACTCTCTTATGGCCTTCTTCTTGTTGATGGCAGTACACGCAAACATACTAATACACACGCATCATACTCAGAAAACTATCTCATTCTCCTTTCTTCGAACCAAAAGAGAAAAAAGGTCGGAGAGATGTAACGGTATCTTTCCATCATTTGCTATCTATTCTATTCCTCTGAGACAATTCTACTAGACAGATGCTATTGTTCGAATTGATCTTTCTAACTCATCTATTTATCTATTCTATTTTTAAGTAACTATCTTATATACTGCTAATATGATGATAAAGATTAATCATTTCCTTGATTCGTTTCTTCTTTTTATAAAATGTTCAATGAGAAAAACCTACAACATTATCATTGATTTATGATTATGTTTACTAGTTTTAGTTTTTTTTCTCTTTCTCTTCTGTTGATGCGAAGAGTGTAATTGTTGTTTCTTTCTGATGATGCTGTTTTATATATATATCTATCTATATATATATATATAACGAAAGAGTATTCTACCATCATGTTCTTTTTTCTATTGCCGCTGCTCTTTTGTGCATATCGTCGATCATCTAAAACTATTAGTAATAGCGCAAGCTCGCGAGGATGAGATAGAGCTTACTATCATCCTGTCGCGTTGTATAGCATGCATGTGCCCTTGAAATCGTCTCTGTCTCTTTTCTCGTCCTTTGTCATCGTTGGTCGGCAACACACTCGTGATTTTATTAGATCGACGAAAGCAAGTAGGAGAAGAAGAGACATAGAGATAAAGAAAAAATAGAAAATATAGATCGATAGAGAGACAAAGCGCATCCGATTCATTCAGTCGTAGTGCTGTCATATATGCGCTCAATTGATTCGTTGATAGAGAAAAAAAAGGAAGTGTGAAATTCATGTTTTTGCTTTATTGAAGATCAAAATGATTATAATGATGATGTATATGAACATATATCGATAAGATATAGAAAGAAAAAATTGAAAAAATCATGGCTAGTGAACATATGTTGGGCGCTGAAGATGATGATGTTCAGTTTATGCGAACGGTAAATGATCAATTTTGTTTATATTAACTTATTTTATAGTAATCTTTCTTTTTTTCTTGTTTTTGTTTTTTAGGAAGATCATCTATGTTTAAGTTGTGTGCCTGTATCAGGCGTAAAACGAATGGCTTTATCGGGTGAAGTATTTGGAAATCGAATGTGTTATCTTGAAGATATATCAAATGAGGTAGAAAATATTCGATGATAGACATGAATAGACATCCCTGATTATTATGATTATTATTTATATTGTGTTGTACATCCATATTTACCGCATGTCATACTTTTTTCCTTGCATGTTAATTTTTATTTGCCTGCTTTATGGTTTTTATCAAAGCCGGTTAATAAAAAAAAAAAAAAAAGAAAAAACAATTAATTATCTATTGAAGATTGATACATTTTGTGATGTGATGATATATTGACCTTTACATGTTTGTTTAAATGAGAATTATTTTAATTTATTATATCAGGTTTGTTGTCCTGATTTGGCGTCATGTATATTTGTACTCGAACAAGCTGTATCAGTTCGAGCTTTGCAAGAAATGGTCAATACAACCTCAACCGAACAAGTAAAAATTTGATATTATTTCTATTTGAAAAAATTATATTTATTTATTAAAGTCATCTGCAAGTCAAGGAGGTCAAACAACATTTCGAACATTATTATACGGTCATGCTGTTCTTCTTCGACATTATCATAGTCAAATGGTAAAATGAAAATTCTTTTTAAGTTTTTATTAAATAAATTAAAAATGAATTAAATTTAGTACTTGAGTTGTCTATCGACAAGTACATCAAATGACAAGCTCGCTTTTGATGTAGGCTTAAAAGAAGATGCACAAGGTATGTTAGAAATAAATCAAAAGGAAAGAAAATTTTTTATTTTTATTTTTCAAAATATAATTTATCATTAAGGCGAATCTTGTTGGTGGACTATTCATCCAGCATCAAAACAAAGAAGTGAAGGCGAAAAAGTGCGCTTCAATGATGATGTTATTTTGGTTTCAGTTTTCTCTGAACGATATCTTGTATAAAATTTTAATGGAATCTTTAAAATTCTATTTATATCTTTCTTAGCATGCATATATGTCAATAAATGAACGTGGACGAGTTAATGCATCATTTCGTCAACAAGTATGGAGTCTTGTACCTATATCAAGTGGTGTAGCACGTGTTAAAAATCCTGGTTTTGTACTTGGTGGAGATGTTATACGATTAATGCATGGAAATATGGATCATTGTATTACAACACCACCACCAGATTCTCAAGTTATTGATGATTCTGGAAGGTAAGAAAGATTTAAACAATGATGCCAATATCGTCTTTAGTTTTGCCTTCGGAACTTTATTTTATTCTTTAAAAGATTACTCGTTTCATTTTGTAGAAAAATTAGCTTAATAATATTTGAAAGCTCCGATAATGTTGAATTTTCTGAAGGTTATTTTTTGCTGAAAAAAAATTCTAATGGTTTTCTACAAATCATTAATGAGGGAATGTATCAGACTGTTGTACGCCGTTGAACTTCGTATTATGTTTATGAGTAGGCATCGGTGAAAATAACAGAAGTTTAGAAGAATTCGGATCCATGAATTAATAATAAAGATTTATGACTATTTTGATGAAATTGTTCATGAAAGTAAAAACAAAGAATTTCGACCTGAAATGATGTCTAAAGGCATGTTTGATAGTTCTAAAAGCATCAATGAAAACAAGTATGTCTTTGTCAAGATATTCAATATTCTAAAAGAAAAAAAACTGCGATTTATTATACGAAAACAAAATTGAGTCTACATGGAAATTGGATACCATTGAGAAAGACGTGTTTGTTTTCATTGGAACTTTCAGGACTATTAAACGTGTTTATTGGCAATACTTGTGTTCGAAACTCTTTGTTTTGAGTTTTTTCGGAAATGCTTTGCACTTAGTAAAAATCTCATTAAAACTTTCATAACTCTTTGTAAGTAAGTCATGGCCTCGAATCTTTTCAAACTTGTCTTCGTTTCATCGAGACCTACTCGTAACTATAATGTGCAAAACTTTGAATTCTAGCTACAAAATGCTAACGTTCTTAAAATATAATTGAATAAAATAGAGACAAACGTAATATTTTTATTGTGCAAAATTAAACGAATCATTTTGTTTTTGAAACAAAAAAAAAGCAGCATTCCAATGAAAACTAAAGAAAATATTAACAAACATTGACATTGCCATTTAATCTGGATTACCCAATGAATTGAATCTTCTTCGTATTAAAATAATCGTAAATCAAACTTAATTCTCTAGAGAAATCTTCGACCAAAAAACAAAAATTCTTTTCTTTACATCATGAATATAATATTTATAATTTGTTCAAAATTTACCAAATGATAATAATAATAGAAGCAACATGAAGGTCGATATAGTCGAATAAATAAATAAACTAATACCCAAGAGAATATATACCATAAATGTTTATTTTAAAGGTTAATCAATTGATTTTCTTGTCTTTTCTTTAGTTTATTCATTAAAAGTGGTGCTGCTTGTCATCAAGCTCGATCCTTATGGCGTATTGAATGTTTTAAAATTAAGTACGAAATCAAAAAATATTTTTTAAATACTATTTACTTAGCATTTTCCCGTCTATTACAGATGGTATAGTGGTTTTGTTGGTTGGAGTTCATTAGTTCGCCTTCGACATGTTACCTCAGGTCTTTATTTAGCTGTTATTGGTGATGACCATGGTAATAATCATAACAAAAAAAAAACAAAATCATATTTTTTGTTTTATTTGAAAATTTATATTAGGTCCGAAAGTAACATGTATATCGAAGAAGAATGCCAGTGCGATTGCCGTAACATTCGAAATGAAAATGTCGAAAGTATAAAGATTTAATAAGTGATAAGTTTTTTCATATTACGATTTTATTTTGTAATTTAGGAAAAACAAACTGAAGAAATAGCCGAACAAGAAAATTTAGGTGTACCGACAGTAAAATATGGTGATACAATTGTTTTTATACGTCATGTTGATTCCGATCTTTGGATTAGTTATGAAACACTAGAATTAACAATAAAAGGCATTGGAAAAGTTGAAGAAAAACGGGTAAAACAAAAAAAGAAAACATCTTTTATTTATAAACTTTTTGTTTTATTTAATTAGATCATCCCAGCTGTTGAAGGTCATATGGATGATTGTTTTCGTCTTGTGCGAGCACAAGAGCAAGAACAAAAGACTGCTTTAGTTATTCGAATATGTAACGCTATTCTTGGAAGATTTAATCGAACTGAGTAAGAAACTATTCATTAGAAATTTGAAGTCAAAGTTTTGCATTTTCCTTTTTCCAGGAATTTCTGAATGACGTCGAAAATCATAAGAGTAGATAGATCTCAATGAGTAGAACAAAATTTGTCTCTAGGAAATATTTTGCTCGCACCTGCTTTCTCAGCCGTCCGATAGAGCTGGCATATTTTTTTGTAGATACTAGGCATTTGAAATACCAATAAAAAGTCCTTATTTATATGTCATTTGACAGAGGACATATCGATGCCACATAAAAACTCGAAAAACTTCATTTTAACATACAGAAAAGCGGAACATGGCTCTCTTAACAACTAAGAATAACAGACGTCAGTCTCTTTTTCTCGGAGCTTCTTAGCAATAGAAAAAGACTCTGAATGGCATTAACGATAAGTCTTCCATTGTTCTAGAACATTCCAAAGCTTTTGTTGAAATTTAAATGACTGGGAAGATGCTTGTGAATATTCTAAATAATACAATTCTTGATTTTTATGCAGGCAAAAATTTACAATACAAAAGGTCTATTTGCCAGTTAAATCAAGGCTCGTCCATAATGTCCGACTTTTTGTCAAATTTTTTTACAGGCAGGAAATGAAATAAAAGTAAGTAGATAACATCGTTTTGAAGTGAATAGAATTGAGACAGATCGTCTGTTGTAGACAGAGTCGAATATCATTCCCCTAAGACTCCCAGATTGAAAAACACTTTCCTCGCAAATCATTAGTCTCTCCCATCACTAAAAAATATCGACAATCCTAAAAAAGAATTCTGCACGAAACACTTTGTGTCTCTTAATAAAAATCTTTGTCTTTTGTTTTCGTTTTAAGTCCAATGTCAATAGATGCCGAAGCCGTGAATCATTTTTTAAGTAAAAGTGATGTTGTACAAGCATTATTACAAGATTTAATTGGTTTTTTTTCTCAACCATCACAATCACTTGATCATGAGGAAAGACAAATACGTCTTAAAGCATTACGAAATCGACAAGATTTGTTCCAAGAAGAAGTATAGAAATTTATTCTTTTATTTCTGTTTATATTTGAAATTCTATTTTCTTTTGTTTTTGTTCTAGGGAATGATTCGAATATTAATAGCAGCAATAAATTTTTTTAGTGAACGTAGAGATAAAACATTATTATTAGAAGGCGTAGAAGAAAAAATAGAAGATATAACGAATAAACTTTATGTTGTTTTGGCTGCATTAATTAAAGGTAATCGAGCTAATTGTTCAAATTTTGCACAAAGTGCTAGACTTAATTGGCTTGTTAATCGTTTACAATCCCAACAAGCATCAAGTGGAGTATTAGAAGTTCTTCATAGTGTACTTATTGATAGTCCTGAAGTATTAAATATGATTACAGAATCTCATATACTTGCTAGTAAGTTAGCCAAAAACAAATGTCTGATTGGGAATTATTTCATGTTAATTTTTAGTTATTGGATTACTCGATCGAAATGGTCGTGATCCAAAAGTACTTGATGTACTTTGTTCATTGTGTGTTAATAATGGTGTAGCTGTTCGTGCTAATCAAAATCTTATTTGTGAAAATATTTTACAAAGACGAGATCTTCTATTACAAACTGCATTAGTTGATCATGTTGCATGGTAAGAATATTAAAAATAGATTTTCTTTTTCCTGTTATTTATGTTGCAATATAAAGATATGAGGAATGTAAGATATGCAATGTTATAGTCTGGAAAATGTCAAGGCTAGATTAAAGGACAACATATAATAAAAGACAGGCAATTATAAAAGAAGAAGATGAGTGCAAAATAGTAATTGATATTGTTAAAGTGAATTTTGTTGTTGTTGCTCTCTGAAGAAAAAGATTTACGAAAATGAGTAACAATCATCTTACTAAATCTATAATGACGTATTAAAATCAATGAGATGGTGGATTATTGATGTTTTTATTAAACATATGTCTTGTTAAAGTAATCGATTAGATCTAAATACTTCAAATTTGACCTTGATATAAAGTTCACATCGGGTTATGTCATAAAAAAAATCGATCTATAATGATCATTAAATTACTTCATTCAACTTATTTACAGTAAAATTCTAGTGAATGTACTGACGAAGGAATCTCCTCAAATGTCTTTTCTTCTGACTTCAATGATCTTTTGTCTATACATACTAAACGGTATTATAATAAAAATGTTAAAAGGATTTTGGTTTGACTGAACTATCGAGTTTTTTTTTCTAAAAGTTCCAAATTTTCGGAAAACTTCTTTTTTTTTTGAATTTTGATCTGAAACTTTGTACATATAGAGAACTCAATTAAACTAGCTTCTATTTAAAAATTTACAAGTCTTAAACAAATTCTCTTCGAGATATGAAGATTTCAGAGGAAGAATGTTGTATACACTATCCATGCGACAACATGTATATCTTGAAAACACATTGTTTACAGAAGCTACTCTGGTTGAGTTTAGATCTCAATTTCATAGCTTAGTCAAATTGAAATCTTTTGAGGATTTTTATTGAAACACTATGTAGTTCGAAAGAGCAAAACAAAGATGCATCGAATCGTATATTATACTTTTTTTTTAATATGATTTTTTTTAAGGTTTTCAATCAATCTCTTTGAAAATAAATCTATCGCATGAGGTGTTCCCACAATAATTTTTCAATTGTCACGTGCATATTCAAATTACCAATGAAAGATTTACAAAATTGTATCATTTTCCGATGTTTAGAATAAATCATTCAGAAGCCTTACGTATTCTAATCATTTCTGTGAAAATAGTTTTTTTTGTTGTTTGCGTTTTTGATAAATAAATGATTTTTTTTTCAACATTTAGCAAACTGATCAAATGAACTTCAGACAATATACTAGAAAAACGTATAATATACGATTCGATGTGTCTTCATTCCCTCTTTCGAATGATGAAAACGGTAGCTCTTTATCTCTTTTCTATCAGAAAAATAACCACTGTGCCTTTTAAGAAGGTATTAGTATAACCGTCACATATGACAGACAAAAATAGATTTATCGAGATTTTATTACTATGCCATTAACTGAATAATGATCATATACTATAGAAAAATAGAGCATCAATTTGTACTATCCCTACATATAAAACGAAAGTTTCTGAAGCTAACTATACGGTATTAGTGTCATTTGTACCATTTTTGGATTGCCCTAAATAGTATTTATGGACAAAAAGAATCATTAAAATGGGAAGGAAGCATCTGAAGAGGTTCCCTTGCCAGTTCATAATGCTCGTTATGTCACAGGATCTTGGTTATATACCCTGTTGAGAATTGTGTCAGTACATAAGTGTACTTACAAAGTATCTGCCCAGCTTTAATATCATTCTATGAAAAATTTTTCAACAAGTTAGCCGACTGAACATGTAGAAGCCTTTTTGTAGTCAAGTTTTACAAAAGTCATAGAGCACCGAAAAGTTCCTATGACACGCTAGCAGACTAACAGGGTACACTGACCTTAGTACATTCTTAAATGAATAATATTGTCGGGACTTTTGAAAAGTGTTCAATGTCAAAAAGTATTCATCTATTGAAAATCCATTGTTCTATCAAAACTTATTTAGTATGCGTCCAAATATACTTGTTGGAGTTGAAGATGGTGAATCAATGTATAAAAAATGGTATTTTGAAGTTGTTATTGATCATATTGAACAAGTAACACATGTTCAACCACATATACGTATTGGTTGGGCAACAACACATTTTCAACCATCACCTGGCCATGGTGATGGATTTTCATCAAATGGCATTGGTGATAATACATATTCATATGGTTTTGATGGTCAAAGTGTTTGGTTTGCTGGACGTGCATATAATGTTTCAAATCGAGTTCTAACACCGACAGATAATATGCAACATATTGGTTTTAAAAAAAATGATGTTATTGGTTGTTTATTAGATTTAAATATACCTGAAATGTGGTTTTCATTAAATGGTTTACCTGTTAAAGGTCTTTTAAGAGAATTTAATTTAACTGGAATGTTTTATCCAGCTATATCATTATCATCTCGTGTTAGGTTAGATTATATTCGAAAGATTTCTTTTGTGTTAGTTTTTTTTTTATTTTGTTAGTTGTCGATTTATATTCGGTGGTGAACATGGTCGTTTTATTCATCGACCACCAGAAGGTGCAGCACCAGTTTATGAGGCTATGTTAGCAAAACAAAAAGTTTGTATTGAACCATGTTTTTCATTTGGTAATATTGAACGAAATCGTCTTGATGGTCCATCACAATTTCAACATCATATTGGATTTACTCCTCAACCCGTACGAACAAATCATATTGTTTTACCAACACATCTTGAAAATGTTCGTGATCGATTAGCTGAAAATATTCATGAATTATGGTCAATGAATAAAATTGCAACTGGTTGGCATTTTGGTGAAGTAAGTTTAAGTTATATATTTTTATTTGCGTTTTCTTGTTAATGAAAAATTTTTTTTTTTTTAGTATCGAGATGATACACAAAAAGTTCATCCATGTTTAACATCATTTGATCGTCTTCCATTATCTGAAAAACAGTATCATATAACAACAGCAATGGAAAATTTAAAGTAAAGTTAATTAAATATAAAATTTTTAATTTGATACGAGGTCAATTAGTCGTAAGACAATTCGTCGGACAGACATTTAGTTGCGAACAGTGCGTCCCGTAATGAAAAAACAAATAAGATGTAAAACTAATTTTTCTATTTCATCTCATAGGCAAAAATAAACTCGGTCAACACTGAAACTTCTTCTTCATAGGATCCGTGGAACCTATTCCTAGAATTTGCTGTTGATTAGGTCCGGATCCATGTCGAAGACAATAGTGAATACAAACGACAAATTCAATCGATGTTTTTATTTTTATTCGCTTCACTCAAAGCGGTAGCTTTCATTTTTTTCAATAAAACCAAAAAAAAAAGAATAAAACTCTTCTTTATGATTATATATAGACATAATTATCATTATAAATATTACAACAGAGCCCGTAGAGTGTGCTCTACGCCCGTATTTCACAAAATTTTTTAAGAAGCAGGTCTAGGTTGAACTTGAAAAGACTTATAATTCCGTTGCCAATTCTGATTCATGTTCAACAAAAGTTGAATTGGCTAGTGTTAGTGGCAGAAAATTCGACTCCATGAGCTATAATCCTCACCCTCAATTTCGAAAATAGTCTCAAAACTAAAGAAAATCTCTCCTGAAAAACTCGCCGATCAAATCACGCGGTTTGTCATGACTTTTGATACTAATCAATGTTCAGAATACATAATCAGAATTATTATAACCAATGCCGCATTGCGAACATCAATATCGATTTTCATTTTTTCTGTAAATATTATTTATTTTCATTTTTCTTCTCATATTCAAATAATGGTTAATGTGATGATAATCGTTCTCTTTCATATTATCCATTCGACGAACTATTCGCGACCTTTTGTCTGTGTAACGAGCTCTCCGCGACTAATTAATTGTCTTGCAACTAATTATCCATACGACTAATTGTCCGCGACGAGTTGTCCTGCGACTAATAGTCTGGTGACCTTAACTTTTTGTGGTTTTAGGAGTTTAATAGCACTTGGTTATCATATTGGTGTTGAAATAAAAACTGATGATCGTCGATTAAAATATGTTAAATTACCAAATACATATGTGCAATCAAATAGTTATAAACCACAACCATTAGATTTATCAAGTCTTGTTTTATCAACTAAATTAGAAGAATTAATTGAAACATTAGCTGAAAATACTCATAATGTTTGGGCAGCTGGAAGAATTAAAGATGGATTTACATATGGAATATCTGATGTGAGTATTTACATGAGTATAATTATTCATATTCGAACTTTGGGTCAATTACAGCATCTACGCATTGACGTTTATTTTTTTTATCCTATCAAAATATCAAAGATACTTTTAAAAAAGCAAAGTTATTCAAATAGAGCTACCAAAAACCAACAAAACAATATTTTTTGAAATAACCGATCTCAAACAGATGTCGAAAAAACTTTCAGTTTGATTGAAATGAAGGTGTATGTACACTTTTTATCATGAAACAGTTGATTTGAAGAAAACATGAAATAATCTACAGTTTTCGCTTACTGGATTTTTTTAATGTTTAAAGACAGTTTTTCGATTCCAAGATTTATTCTAACGAAGCGAGTGCCCGAACTGTTCCTTTGACTTACAGCTCATATTTTGCTCATAAGTAGTCCTCAATATCAATAGTCAAAGCCTAAAAGGATTCGGGTCCATGAACTATCGAAGTCGACTTATGACTATTTCACTAGATTTTTGTTTTGAGGCAAAGCATTCATGGAAAAACCAAACGATAGTATTTTGACCGGAAATTTGGCCACTGAAAAGGTCCCGTGATTACTAGAATATCCTTAAAATATCAGTCAAAACGAAATGTCTTATCCTTGAGATATTGAGTGGCTAAAAAACGAACATGTGTTACAAAAAGGTCAGAAAATTTAACAGTTTTGAAAATTCAGTATCTCAAGAATAAAGCATTTGTTTTGGCTAATATTGTAATGACATTCTAATAACCATGAGACCTCTTTATGGGCAAAATTTCAGGTCAAAATACAATCGTTGGATTTTTCCATGAATGCCCTGCCTCAAATCGAAAATCCAGTGAAATAGTCATAAGTCGGCTTCAATAGTTCATAGATTCGAATCCTTTTCGGCTTTTATTATTGATATTGAGATCTACTTGTGGGTAAAAACTGAGTTCTAAGTCAAATGAATAGTTTGGGCGCTTCCATCGTCAATAGATATATATACTACTTTAGAATATACAAAGGTTACGAAAGGGTAGGGGAGAGTATCTTTAAGAAAACGAGCAAAGTCCGTTATTTATTCTATTGTCTGCGTCTGACTATCATCGTGAATATTATAATGAGGTCTCTTAGGTTCGTGCTGTATTTAGATTTGATAGACTCAATTGAAAGCTCGAGCCCAAGTGAATTCAATAATACAATGAAAAAATTGCATTTTAATCTGAAAAAAACCTAAATTGATCAGATTTGAATTCATAAGATTCAAATCTGATGAGCTCTATCATTCAATGTATAAATCATATTCACATCGAACAAGTATTGATCGAAATTTTTGACTAATCTTTTAATTTAATTCTATCATTAAAAAAAATCTTCTCTTATTTCATATCTAGTTCAAATCTATCCTCAAGATCATTCTCACTTCTAACTACTCAAATAGATTATATAAATTATTCATTTCTTTTTTTGTGCTATTGTAGAATCCACGTCAAAAACGAAGTCCTCATTTAGTTCCATATGCCATTGTTGATGATAGTATTAAAAAAATAAATCGTGATGCAGCAAGTGAAACAGTTAAAACACTTCTTGCATATGGTTATACAATAGATACACCAACAGGCGATGTTGAAGATCTTAATCGACGTAATAAAGAGGCCTCGAATTCTGCAAATAGTGAACGTATATCAAATTATCGAACATATCGAGCTGAACAAACATTTGCTGTAACACGTGGTAAATGGTATTATGAAGTTGAATTATTAACACCAGGTCGAATGTTAATTGGTTGGGGACATGCATCTAAACTTGATGCTTTTTATCCACTTGGAACTGATTCATATGGTTATGGATTTGATGGTTTAAATGCACGACGTTTTCATCATAATATATTTGATGGTTTTGGTAAACAGTGGTCAAAAAATGATGTTGTTGGATGTATGATTGATTTACATGATAAAACAATTAGTTTTTCATTAAACGGTGAATTAATGTTAGATAATATTGGTAATGAAACAGCTTTTGATGGATTAGATGTTGATGATATTGGTTTTGTACCTGTATTAACATCATTTAGTGGACAAAAAGCACGATTAAATTTTGGACAAGATGTTAATACATTAAAATATTTTACATCATGTGGTTTACAAGAAGGATATGAACCATTTTGTGTGTAGGTTAAAATTTATTTATTTTTTATATTAAATTTATCGTTTGTATTTTTCTTATTTTCTATTTAGAAATATGTCAAGAAGTTTAACATTTTGGTATTCAAATTTTATTCCGCGCTTTGAAACTGTAAAATCAAATTCATCATCATCATTTGAGATAACTCGTGTTAATGCAAGGTACATATATGTCATGTATTCAAAAAGTTCTCGAATTGATTTTATTTAAAAATAACAAGAAGTAATGTTGTATTAGTAATATTATCGATGAATATATAAGAAATACAGTTTAAAATACGCTAAATAAAGACTTTCAGAGTCCGTTTTAGATCTCTAACTCGAAATTTTATATTTCTATGAATGTATAATGTTAGTTTATGATGAAAGAGATTGTCAATTTAAAGATAGATTATCATATATTGATAATAATCTCAATGTCAATAACATAACCATTAGAATTTGTAAAAGACTAATAGTCAAACAACAGCCGGATAAACAGCGGATATGGTTCACACACTTAATGTACTATGCATAGTATTTTATACGATCAATTACATATGATTAAAGCCAAGTAATGGAAATGCCACATTCTATAACAAAATGTCAATGACACGTCTAGTATCATCATCGATAATTAGTTATTCACCTTTTCAAGCGGATCTTTTAAAATATAAATACTTTTCTCGAAATTTTAAGTTACTATTTTGAATGATTTTGTTTTTAATATAGAGTTCTGCGGGATAAACTTTTGTTGAATCCCGGTCTTGAATATCATGTACCGAAAATTTTCGGCTTTCGGGACTGCTTCGCAGGACATTAGACCTTAGAAAGTTTCATTGCTAAATTTTAAGTCTTATCAGTATTGAACATATTACAGTCTGGAATAGTCAATTTTTATTTGGACAACATTTACTTCTTAAAAGTGAATTGTCTACTTTCATGAACGATGTTTTCGTTTTTTAAAAAGTTATTTTCTAAAAGATTCGTAGTGTTCTTATGCTGTTTCGAATGTGAGTAAGCAATTCACTTAACTCTAGGAAAAATAATTCACATGCACCCTTCCGATTACAATGGTTTCAAAAGATTTCAAGTTTTCGAAAAAATCAAATCTTTGAATGTTGCTCTGAAACTTTGCGCATATGGACAACTCAACTAGATTAACTTGCATAAAAAAATAAAAAAGTTTTGAATAAAGTCTCTTCAAGATATACATCAATTTTTCCTCGATAGTATACACGACATCAGAAAGGGAGCACCTAAAGAATTTCTTCGGTCAGTTTTAAAGATCATCCAAAAAATATTATCCAGTATTGTATATTTTTCATTCATTCGAGCTTATTATGTCTTATAGATAGAAGACTGTATGAAATACATACAGATAATATTACTAATACAATAGCATTTCTTCGCGTTTTTTTCTTTTTAAATAAAATCAGTTCAGAAAATGTTTTCAACGTGTATATTTTGATTGTATCCAAATAAATAAATTTTATTTTTTAAACATAGTCGTGACAATCCACCATTAATAAAACTTCAATCACGATTATTTGGAACATTAGAAAAAGTTGAATTTGAATTTCTTCGTTTATCACTACCTGTATGTTGTCATGATATATTTACACCAAAGTAAATATTTCGAATTCTTGTTTTTTTTTCTCTAAAAAGAAAAAATATTAAAAAATTTCTATTATCTTTTCTTAAAGACATTTAACTCTTGAACGACGACAAATAGCATTACATGAATATATTGAATCTCAAGAAGAAAAACGTACATTTCAATTTCCTCCAACATTAACTGGTATTCGACAAAAATCATTATTACCTGGTGCGACTGATACTATGGATTCTCATACAACAAATCAAACTGATACAAATGCAAATTTTCTTTCACCTGACTCTATAACAAATAAAGCAATACGTAATCCAACAAATTTACTTGTTAAATTTCGTGATCAAACAACATCAAAAAAACAACCATCACCATCACCACCACCATCACCAGTTTTAAATGGAAATCTTCAAACACATTTAACAAATGGTACAACATTAAATGAATCAAATGATCGTTTAAATAAAACAAATACTAAAACATCAACAAGTAAAATAAATAATTTTTTTCAACGCTTTGCAAAAGATCCTCAACATGGAAGTGATACAAGTCTTAAAACTCCAAAACGTACTGTTAAATTAAGCGGAAATAGTACGACAAGTACAAATACAAATTCACAAATACAACCACAATCAGTTTTAAAAGTTCCAACACTAAATGCTCCCACAACAACAACAACAACAACAACAACATTAGGACAATTAACATCAGCAAAACGATCAAGTAGTACAATTGGAAGAAAATCTATTGGTGATACCGACGGTGAATTTAATGATCAACAACAAAATGATTTTGAACATGATGAAATACGTGCAATAAATGAACATGTTCATGAATATTATTATGCTATTAGAATATTACCAGGACAAAATCTTCGTTCAGTATTTATTGGTTGGGTTACATCAAGATTTAAACCTATTTTACAAAAAGAAAATCTTCAAGATGATACATCAGTACCATCAGCAAATAAATTATCGAAATTAATTCGACGTTGTACCATAACACAAACAGGAGAAGATGGTTCAATACTTGAAAGTGTTATTAGACAAGATGCTTATATGTTTTGTGCAAGTGATTTATTAGAAAATATGCCTGATCATGAAGCTGTTTCTAGACGTGTTGTTAATGGTTTATTAATTGGATGTTTATGTGATGTATCAACTGGTCAATTAACTTTTTATGTTAATGGAAAAGAATCAGCACAAAAACTTGAGGTATAAATATTCAAAACTATTTTTCTTATTCCCATCTTTTCTATGGCTAAAACTCGAAGTCTAAAACTGAAATTCGTCGCGATGGTGCCAATGACAGCTTCTTTTTTTTTAAAGAGAGCGTAAGATTCAATGAATTTGCATCCTACTTGAGTATCTACGAGTTCAACAATCAAAATCGTGGTGAATCTGATGGAAGCGATTTTTGAAGAATTTCTCAGAAATCATAGCAGCGACGGCATTTTTTCAGCCGCGATAAACATCTCTGAAGACAGCATCGGGTATTTGGATAATTTCTCAAGCGTTTTTTGAGGTATATGGGAAATTATAAAAGTATCTTAAAGTTCTGTTAAGTTCGAGTATTTCTGAGCATTATTAACTTTTCTAATAGAATGCTTGCAGACTGTCGGTTTTTTAAATTATCTATTGTTCTGTGTGCAAATCTACTATAGTGAAGCCCGAAATCCTATTTTTTAAAGCTTACTTCCTTTTATTAAGTGACTGAAAACGATTGCAGTTAAGATTGAACAGAAACATTCGATTTACTAGAAGAAAAAAATTGTGACTCAGTCTAGTTTTGGTCTTTACGGAATGCCACTAAGGATATATACTTGTAAGACAGCAAAAATTCTTTATATCGAAGATTGGGTTGTTTGGCAAGCATTTTCTAAAAAAATCAACTTGTAAGATTTAAAGAAACTATAAGTTTTTATAATAGTAAATCTAGTTTTATGCGACGTCATTAATAAAAAAACATCTGTTTATATATTGGAAAACTTTAAAAAGAAACTTTCGAGGTATTGACAAAACTTTAGAAACAAAAACTGCTTCTTGATAGAAGATTTTTGAATAGAATTTAGTACACCTTCCTTATTGAATGTTCATGATTTTTTTTACAGTTTTAAGTTTAATAAGTAGACTAAACGGTCTACTTCTACAGTATAAAATAAGTCTAACTATTTAGTTGACTAATCTATTGAAGTATCATTAGTATCGGTGGCATATAGTTCCTGACAAAGACCGTTAGGTCTAAGTTTCAGATCGACCCAACGAGTTTTTCTTAGAATGAACTTAATTATAACTAGATTAACGTAAATCTTTCAAAATCTTTTGTTTCCAGTACCAATTCCATTAAAATATAAACTGTTCATTTTCATATGAAACAGAATGTACACTCTTTAGCAGTACAATAAATGTTTGTATTCGATGAGAAAAGCATGGTGAAATCTAAAAAAAACTTTCGAGATCTATCATCTACGAACTTCTTAAGATTGCAACATTGGAAAGGCTAGCATAATCTAGTTATCATTAAGTTCATTCTCAAAAAGATTTTCATTCTCCTTCGTTCTAATAGCCTGGGCACGAACCCTTTCGAACCTTTTCATAACTCACCAAGATCTTTTTATCGGCAAAATATAAGCTTAAAAGAATGCACACACCTAGAAACGTTCCTTTGTCAGGCTAAAATATTTCTTTCACATCATAAGTACAATCCGGGTTAAATGTCAAAAATTTCAGACTGAACGCGTTCTAACCCATACAGCTAATTATTCGAAATTTCTATTATAAGCCTGTGTAAATTCCAAAGTCTATTTATTCTGCTTTTTTTTTTTACAGAAGCCAAATGAATTAAACCAAAACATTTCATTTTTAGGTTGAGCCAAGTACAAAATTGTATCCAGCTGTATTCGTCGAACCGACTGTAAAAGAAGTTTTACAATTCGAATTAGGACGTATGAAGGTAAAGATAAAACAAATAAATATAAATTAATCATAAAATAAAATATTCTAATAATAGAATTGTTTACCATTAACTGCTGCTCTATTTCCAAGTTTAAATCGTGAAGAACGTTTTCTTCCTCAATTACCATCACGATTAAATTTACAAACACTTCTCCATTGCCATTGGTCACGTGTACCTATTGCAAATTTACGTTGTCAACAATTAAAATTATCTGATGTTCGTGGTTGGAGTGTTTTTGTTGAAGATCCTGGTATAGAAATTTAATAAAAACATCTTTTTTATTTCTATTAAAACATTTTCTTTTTATAGTTCAAATGCAAGCAGTTTATATTCCAGAAGATGATCGTTGTACGGATATTTTAAATTTAGTTGAAGATGAAGATAATTTAAAGTATTTGATGAAAGTTTTCTTTTTGTATAATATTTAATCATTTTAGTTTTTGTTCAAATACATTAACACTTTATAATGCAATATGTGCTCAAGGAAATAATCGTGTTTCACATGAAATATGTAAATTAGTTGATGAAAAACAACTTATGTATTGTGTTAAAAATCCTTGTGAGTTAAAAAGTATTTTTCTTTTGATTTTATTTATATAAATTTATTAGATTTATGTGGAGCTATTCGAATGGGTATTTATAATTTACTTATTGCTTTACATTTTGAACCACATATAAAAGCTCGGTAAATTTTGTTTAATATTTTATTTTTTTAATTTAATTTTGTTCTTTTCATAAAGAAGTTTAACTTCACAGGAATTTATTATTCCATTATCAAGTTTACTTCGAAATAATATTTTATTACGTTCACAAAATTCAATTGAACAACAACAAATGTATGCAACGACAACTTATATACCAGCTATGGAAAATTTTCTAGCTGTAAGACCTAAATTAATTAAAGAAGAAGAGTAAGTTACTATTAAATATTTTTTTGTAACATTGAAATAACGTGTCGAAGAATTTTAATATATTTCAATGGAAATTTCCAGGGTGAAGTTTCATTCACAGGATTCATATGTTGATAGTTTAGTTTGGTTCAAGGTGAATATTCTTTTTATAATAGTGATCTTCAGTATTTGCTGAAAAGTTCGTATTATCGAATGAAAAATGCTCGACTCTGCATTTAAACAAACTTGCTTTCCTATGTTACTGCAACGCTAGAGATGCAGATCCACGTTTTGGTGGGCCCGGATCCGAGTTTAGGAGGATCCACGGCTTCCTATATGTTAGTGGCGGAGCTACAGAGTGGCTTAAAATCGTTCATTTCCCTTCATAAGTGAGATGATCTTATGTTAAAAGCTAAAAAATAACGTACTTTTCAGCTTTCAACGAAGAGCTAAGCCTTCCGTGCAATTTTTTTCCGTCTCCGCCGATAGCTCATGCATAAAAGCGATCACTTACTATATTCGCTGCTATCCTATGGTGTCAATTTTGTTAAACATTATTGTTGATTACCACGACTGACACTGGCTAACGTGTCCTACTTCTACGTTTTTTGAGTCTCAAAACTTAATGTAGTACTTTCTTAAACCAATCGTTGACTTCGTATTCCATCTAAGATGACTTTGAAGTTTAAATTATCCTAGACTAAAATTTACACTTCGAGAAATATTCATCAATACCTTTATTTCTCTAGAAACGGACGGTTTTTTCTGAGTGTTACTAAGAAAAACAGATCAGTTGCGCTTTCCATTATATAGCGGACAAATGCTTTCTCGACAATATAAGCTTATCTTTAAGTATTATATTCTTCGAGTACCTGTCTTTGGTAATACTCGAGAAACTCTGTACTTGTTCAGTTCTGTTTTATAACATGCATAAAATAAAAACTTCGGAGAATTTTGTTAACTATTTTTCTATCTACATACATTTGAACAACATAAAGTTGAACTGTATTCTTTAGTGTTTAATAAACTAATTGAACATTTCAGAATGTAATATTCATTTTGTATAAGAGAAGATATTTATTGAACATTATATTTTGTTTCTTTGTTTTAGTTTTAAAATTGAACGTGAACGAAAATTACTTGTTCCACCACTATTTAATGTCACAAGTCTAAAAGAATACGTGATGAATTCATTAACAGATGCAATTGAAAAAAGTTCTCGTCATCTTCGAGATCCTGTTGGTGGAACATATGCTAATTGGCTTGTGTAAATATTCAGATTAGTTTAGTTCTTTTTGTTTATCATAATTTGTTTGTTTTTTCTCTTTCTTCAGACCAATACTTCAATTAGTAGATGCTCTTCTTGTCATGGGATCACTGGGTATGAAAATTATTCAAATCTATTTGTGATAAGGTTATGTTCTTTTTTAGAAGTAAATGATATTCAACAACTATTACGTTTAGTTGATCCAACGTCATTCGGATTAGAAACTGATGTAGACTTCGATGAAGGTTTACTTCAGATGAAATTAGATGAACCAGTTAAACTTCAATTATGTCATGTTTTACAACATTTATGTAATTATCAATTACAATATCGCATTGAGGGCATTATTGCATTTTCAGAAGAATTTGTTGGAAGACTACAATCAGTAAGTTTCATTTTTTGAATGTGTAATAGTGAATAAAAGTTCACAGAAATTTGTGGTCTACTCTAAAACATAGATTAATCCGTAAGCTTTTGAGGTTACCTTCCCATGTAAAAAAATGACTAGAAAAATCAGATCCTAATCGATTTTTTTCTGATTGATAATCAATTAAAATGGCACGATTTTAATCAGATTTTAACCCAATTTCTTGATTTTTAATAAATTTTTATAAATTTTAATTGCTGTGACTAAAACACGCGTTTTTCTCCAGTTTTCACTTTGAAACTTGAATTTTTTTATTATTATTTCTGACTTCTTGCATCGACAAATGGTAAGTGTAGTACTAGCCCTACCCTTGACACATTCCTATATACGACATCGATTCACACTCACTCGTGTAAGTCATAATGCCAATATATTAGATTAAAATCGATTAAAGATCAATTAGTTGATTAACATCGATTAAACACCACATAATCGATTAAAATTTATTAAAAATCAAGAAATCGGGTTAAAATCTGATTAAAATCGTGTCATTTTAATCGATTATTAATCAGAAAAACATCGATTAAAATCTTATTTTTCCGGCCATTTTTTTACATGGGTTGTAGAGTTGATGCATACTAACATAACAGTGACGTAGAATAATAAAATTTATTAATCTGTTTACAAACCTACTAAAACGAATTATTTCGAAAAAGTAATAAATTGCCTTGCTCACTTTTTAATGCTCTTTCAAATGATGTATTCAAGAGTTCAAAATTAAAATGAAATTTCTATATTTTATTAACTAAGATTAATTAGAATTAATTAATAATGATTAGTCTTAATTAGCACTCCTTTGTATTAACTATTATTAATTAAATTCAATTATTATTTACTAGTTCGAATAAATAATGTCTGAAAAACCACTTAATGAAAATATTACCCATTCAATTTTGTATTAAACGGTTTAGAAAAAAACTTCATAATAATTCTTTAATAGCGAAAAATAAATAAAGTATGACTCGCCCTCTAAACTTTTTTCATTAGAGACAATAGTTCGTATCATTAATATTCGAGTCAAATGTCTTAAAGAATTGTTCACTTTACAGACTTTTAGTTCATTTTGATAGTTATCGAAATAACGAAACAAAAAATCCCCTAAACGCCTGTTTATTTATTTAAAAGTTAAACATAAATAATTTTTTTAGGATCAAAAACGACGATATAATGTTTTAAAAGAATCAAGTTTACCACCAGCATTAATGGCGAAAAAAACACGAGAATTTCGTTGTCCAGCAAAGGATCAAGTAAATAAAAATAAAAAAAAGGCCAAGTAAACTATTGTTTTTCTTATTAATACTCGCTTTTACTTAGATGCAAGCTTTAATGGATTTCAAACGTGATTCAGATGAAACAACTTTTGGTCATGAAGATATGCAAGAAGAAATAAAAGATATGTTAAAAAATTTTCATGCAAATATACTTATTTTACAACAAGTTCTTGAGGTTTGAAATAAAACAAAATCACAATTCTCAAACATCTCCTTTTTCGTTTTCTATAGACAAATCATGATCTTTACAAAACGTCGAGTGTACCAAAAATTAATGAATTAGATCGTAATGAACAAATTTCATTATTTTCACGTTTACTTGAAATTGCTATTCGACATGCAATTAAAAAGAAGACAGACGATACATTAATAGATAATATTGATAAGCAATTAGTATGGAAACCAGGAAGTAAAATGAGAAAGACTCCTTGTTTTAATCAAAATCATCTGATTTGTGCTTTTTTTTTCTATTAAAAGAAACTCTTTGTGAAGTGATTAAAGCAACTGTTATTAAATGGGGACGACAAACACATATTAATGATCCTAATTTGATAAGAGAAATGTTTAAATTAATTTATAATCAATATGATGGAATTGGAGAGGTAATGTTTATGAATTCGATTCATGTCGCTTTATCTCGGAGTCTATCGACGCGATTATCATAAGTCTCGATGTGGGCTTTTCCTTCTTACAATTTCTCTTGCGTCTGTGAGTATGCTGAGCTGTTGTCGGAAACTTACCTACTATATTTTTAGAAGGCAGCTTTTCTCAGTTGTTTTCTATTTGTCAAATTTGTTAGCGTCACTCACACTTCTAAGGTCTCTTGAGAGCGTCATGTACGGAATTATTCTAAAAAATGGTCTATCTCACTTAGGAATTTGATAATTTCATGAACAGTACACTAGTGCATTTGATTAAAAAAAATTATCGAGAGTAGATTTTTAGGTAATTTTTTTAGAGTTTGTTAAATTACTGTTTAAAGGATGTGTATCATAGGATCACTGTCATTGAGTTTAATTTTGCATAGTTAATATATCAGTTTTAGTAGCAGAAAGGAGTTACATAAGTTCAAATCTGTAGAATATACTCAATTAACATATACTTTCATATAAATTCTTTGATAAAAACTAATCTTTTATTTCTCTTCTAATACAGTTTAAAAATTTACGTTAGGGAACTATTGATAGACTGATTTTTGCCAAAATCACTCCTCGAAATAGAAGATCATTCTCATATTAGAAGCCTTAGGGCTTCAATTGTGTCTAGAAAATTTCATTTTGTCAAGCAAAGCTTCGCAGATACTATTAAATTAGTCTTGGTCAAGCGTTGTTTGCATATAAAAGAAATTGTTTCTACAGACATCAAATACTTATGATTAAGAATACTCTCTAGAGATAATTTTCATTTTTCGTCGACGTTCGATATCATTGTCACTATGCGCTCTGTAGCGGTCCCTTTGTCTAGATGGCCAGAATTTCGCCAATAGGGCATTTGTCAATAGCGAAATTCTGGAACGCTCATTGTCTAGCAAAAGGTATTTGATCATCATCACAGATTTAACAAATTCATATTTCTTCTGTTCGTAATATCGTGATATCGTAAAGGATGTGTCTCTTTTCTTGGTAAGACCGAAATCCACACAGGCCGTGATAGCTGCTGTTGATTATACGACCTAAGATCGTATATGAATAAGGTTTCGTTATAATATATGGCCTACTTATTGCATTTTTGGAGAGCACGGTGAAGAAATGTCTTCGGAAATACATAGAATAAAACCAATCTTCCTATGATTAGCTACAGAAGCTACATTTTATTCCATTTTGTAATCTCACAAGACATGTACTAACAATTTTTCTCTTTAGATATCCCAATCACTCGAACGAACTTATATAATAAATGAAAAATCAGTACCTGATATAACATCCTTATTACGTAAATTAAGTATTGTTCGCGCACTTCTAACTGTTCAAATGGATGCTGATGAAGAAGAAATCATGATATCATGTTTAAAGTAAGTTTTAATATTTATTAACAAACAAAAAAAGAAAAAAAAATTCAATATATATTTATTTATTTATTTAGTGATATAATGGATAATCGTATATTTTATCAACATCCTGATTTAATGCGTTCACTTTGTGTACATGAAACCGTTATGGCTATAATGGTTAATCGTTTAAATAAAAGTAAACAAGAACAAACATCAATGTCATCAATGAACGATATGGATGGTCTAACACAAACAAATGAAGCTGGAGAAAATCAAGAAATTCATCTACCGAAAGTAATAATTAAATAAATATTTATAGAATAAAATATATAAAAAAAAATATCTTTTTAGGAAGATAAAGTTGAACTTGTAACAACATGTTGTAAATTTTTATCATATTTTTGTCGTACATCACGTCATAATCAACGTGCAATGTTTGAACATTTAAGTTATTTATTAGAAAATAGTTCAATGTTACTTTGTATGTTTATAAGAAAATTTACTAATTATAGATATCTTTTTTTTAATGGAAATTTTTAATTTTAGCCCGTCCATCACTTCGTGGTTCAGCACCATTAGATGTAGCTTCAGCTAGTGTGATGGATAATAATGAATTAGCATTAGCCTTGCGTGAATCACATTTAGAAAAGATTGCATCATATTTATCACGTTGTGGTACAACAAGAAATGAAGAATTATTTCTTCAAGGTTATCATGATATTGGTTGGGATCCTGTTGATGGTGAACGGTTTGTTTAATTTTTGTTTTTCTAACTTTATATATATATATATGCATACATTTTTTCTTTAATTAGATTTCTTGATTTTTTGAAATTTTGTGTTTGGGTTAATGGTAAAAAAATGATATTTCTTTCTTTTCTAAAGTATTTGATTAAATGATTTAATTTAAGGTGATACGGTTGAAGAAAATGCAGATTTAGTTGTGCGTCTTCTTATACGTCGTCCGGATTGTTTAGGTCCAGCATTAAGAGGTGAAGGTGGTGGTTTACTTAAAGCAATACGTGAAGGTATTGCACAATCACTTTATATTGCTCGACGACAAAATCCTGATGATCCTGTTATACAAGCTGCTTATCAGGAAATAATTGAAGATGAAAGCATGCATAATTTAAATGAAGAATAGTAAGTTAATATGAGTTTTATTTCCTTCTGAAGATTCAAAATTTAAGTTTACAATATTTTATAGAATTTATTGGGCTCTATTAAGGGGTTTTCTGACGTGCCGAAGGCTTTATTTAGCACTTTGAGTATTGGCATACATTATAATGTACATTTTGTTTTCAAATTTCTTAAGTCTTGAATAATTCGCAAACGCGAAAAGATATCGAAGTGCAGTTTTCTCTATGACATAGGAGAGAATTCAATGCATGCATCTATTTAAGAGTTATAATTCTAATGAGGGGACTCAAGTAGTAAACCTGACGGGGTTTTGGAATACTACATCTATGCCAAAAAGAAGAAAAGCGGATAGTATTTCTTTTGTGGTTCCGAAAATATTTCGATTTTCCGTGTTGAAATTAAGTTAGTCATTACTCACGGGATGATTTGACGACAGTTCTGAATCTAATTTTGATCCATTCCCATACTCTTTCGCAAGAATGCCTAAAGTACTTCTTCGCTATCTCCATAGGAAGTACCGGCATGGACTTTCCTATCAATAATAAGATTTTAAATTATTTGATCATCAATGATGATGAAGTTCTGTTGTACATACACTACATATTTTTACAGCAGTCGTTGGATACCAAAAAATCTTACTGAAGCGTAAGTGTAAAGTTATCACCAGACCTCCTAGAAATATAAGTATTAATCTTCTGTCATTAGTTTCTTTACATCTTCGTTTGTTTTCTTGTTGTAGTTATAAATGCATGAATATTATATTAAATGTTTATTCATTGTCGCCATTTTTATAAATGTTTTTATATTGTTCATATAAACAATTAAAAAAGAAAATCATTATTTTTTTGTTTGTTTTATTAATATAATTTTAGTGATCGTCTTCAAGTTCGTTTACCATATGAAGATGATGAAGAATATATTGATTTAGGTGCAGCTGAATTATCATTTTATGCTATTTTGGTTGAGTTATTAGGTCGATGTGCACCATCTGAAGAAACAATTAAAATGGGAAAACCAAATGCTATTCGAGCGAAATCAATTCTTAAAAGTCTTGTTTCAATGCATGATTTAGAAGGTGTTCTTGGTCTTAAATTTCTTTTACCAAGTATGTTAATAATTTCATATATATATATATATAGAATGACTTCAAAAGTTATTTAATTAGGTTGTTTTTTTCTAAGAAGAATCTAAATAGAGAATTTTATTTTCAATATTCAGAGACTCTATTCTCCGCAATCATTTTTACATGCTAAATTTCTTGTTGGAAATAAAAAAAATTATTTGAATTATTCTCAACATTTACAGCAGCAAAATAATGAATAATTTCGCTGGTTACTGTAGATATATTAAATAAATGAATTTTATATTTAGATGAAAATTCAATGCCGCCTGGTCTTCAACCAGCACATAAAATGTCAATAATATTATTTCTTGAACGTGTCTATGGTATTCCTGATCAAGAAACATTTTTTCGTCTTATTGAAGATGCTTTTCTTCCTGATATTCGTTCAGCCACTATTCTTGATATGGTAAATCATATTTTTCAAGAATATAATTTTGAAATAAAATTATTTTTATTAGGCGGCTATCGCAGAAAGTGATATGGCATTAGCATTAAATCGTTATTTATGTACTAGTGTTATACCATTAATGACATCACATGCACATTATTTTGATGATTGTGACCATCGATCATCACTTCTTGAATCTATATTACATACAGTTTATCGTTTATCAAAATGTCGTTCATTAACTAAAAATCAACTTGGTACTATTTGTGACTTTTTACTTGCATTTGCAAGGTGAGTTTATTTTTAAAGAAAAAAATCAACAGTAAAGAGAAAAATTTAATTTTTTTGTATTTAGTCAATTAAAACCATCAATGATGACGCCATTATTAAGAAAACTTGTTCATGATGTACCAGCACTGACTGATCAAACTATTGTACCATTAAGAGTATGTTTAAATAGAGTTTAGATTCATTATTTTTTTAATCTTGTTTTTTTTTTTTATTTAGATGCTTACTCAATGGTATGAAAGATGTACTCGATATTATAGTACGACTGCTACCGAAGAAGAAAAACGTTTAACTATGATGCTCTTTCAAAAGATTTTTGATGCACTTGCATTTCGAGTATGTCTTATCGGACTTATTTAATGATCTATAAAATAAATATTCATTTGATTATAGGCATATGATCCAGAATTGTTTGGTAAAGCACTTCCATGTTTATCTGGTAGATTGGATTTATTAATTAATAAAAGACTTTCGAATATATATATATTTGTTTTTCTTAAATAGCTATTGGTAGTGCTCTATCACCTGATTATTCATATTCAATAAACCAACAAGATCATTTGGATCATGAACGAGAAAAAGCTGAAATGTCACGTATTTATGAACCAAATCCAACTGATACTTCAAAGTTAGTTTTGACCTCCCCCCTCCCCCCTCCCCGCTCTCTTCCCTGCTGCGCACAGGTCCGGACACATGTTGTTAGAATACAACCACAGATCTTATATCAATAACATCTTGCTATAATATGGGCTATTTCAGGCAAAATGGAACATATCTCACCTTAATGTGACTTTGATTTTTCAAGAGTTATTTTATGAACAAGTTATTGTAGCATACACATATGTGAAAATGTTGTCTCTTTCAGTTGACTATTAATTAAACGTAATTGACTAATTAAAATCAATTAAGTAATTACAGCTAATTAGGCTTAATTAAAATTAATTCGTTAACTAAAACTAATTGAGTTTAATTACAATTAATTAACTAATTAAAAATTAATTACTGAATATCTCTCTGACCCTATTGAAAAAAATATCCTAAAACGCCAAGATAGACTCTACAGCATCAATTGCATATATGGTGACATTTTCAACAAGACTTAAGTTCAAAAAACTCCATCTTAAAGAAAGTCGTTTTATCAAGATCCTATCACGTCTCGAAACAAAAATTATTATCTTTCCATTATCTAGACATTCTAAAGAATATTTTCTACCGTTTGTATGTTCGTATTCTGTCACGTCGCTAAAGCTAGTTTCTTAGTGATAACTCCTCTGAACAACAGTGTCTCTCGCAGACTTTTTCAGGGTATCTGGAACAACCTAAATTACATGTAACTTATTAACATTAGCTCAAGAAAATCTCCTTATCTCAAGATAGGTATATTTTGATTTTGCCAAGTCACGCCACTAATGAATGGTTTTTCTCATATATGAACTACTTTCTTATTGCTTTTCTGGGGGACTAACTAAAATAATAGTGAAGAAATGTGCCCCAATATAGATAGAATAAAACAATATCACTGTGATTAACAACAGGAGCTATATTGTCTTTCACTTTTTAATCGAGTAGGAATTACACCTAACAATTTTAAATTGAAGTAGAATAATGAATAAATAAATAAATATTGTTTTAGTGTTGTATTAAGCCCAGAACTTGACGAATTTGTTAAAGCTTACGCTGAAAGTGTTCATGATCAATGGTCATATGCTAAAGTAAGTTGATAATAGAAGTTCTTTTTTGTATAAGAATTATATTTTCAATTAAGATTGAACAAGGTTGGGTTTATGGTGAACAAATAAATGATAAATATCGACAACATCCTAATTTAAAATCATATAAAGCTCTTGATCGAAAGGTGAATTCTTCATTTTCTTTTATTATTCGTTTTTTTGTTATATTTTAAGTGCTTTTTTTTGTTATTTAGGATACTGCTAAACTAGAAGATCCAATTCGTGAAGCATTAAAATCTATTGAAAAATTACATTTTCGTTTAGAAAAAACTGATGCAGGTATGACACGTATTGCAACAAAACCATTACAAAGAAAAAAACAAAAAGTATTATTATAAATTAAATTTGATAATAATTTAATGAAATTATTTATTAAAGGATAAAGGTGCACCGGACTATACACCAAAAGCAATGGATTTTACAAGTGTAACAATGAATCGTGAGATGCAGGTAATAAAAATAATGTAATCTAGACATTTCTTAGAAGAAGATATCTCATTAAAAACATCAATTCAAATCTGTATAAAATGTTTAATGATGAATCATGAAATGCTCAAGTTTTGGTTTATGATGTTTTCTCCCGCATTCATAGAAAAATATAATTTATTTTATAAACTAATTCTTTTCAGGAAATTTCGAAAAATAGTAGAAAGATAGAAGCATGAAAACAGTATCCGAATTTTCTCGCTTCCAGCCAGAAATGACCATTGGGTACGGTCATCATAATATTGCTTCCAAGTTCCTACCATTTTTTTGGTTAGAAAATAGCGAAGCAGCACGCCGGAATCATTAATGTCTAGGTTACTAATGAATCTATAATTAAGATTAATCTAAACAAAATACTTAAGAGTGAACTCTCTCCAGGTGTCAAATCGCTTTTCGACCAAGGCGATGTTCATTGGATGAGTAATATAAAAGTTTGAAATCGTTTGCTTTTTCGGGCCTTCATTCTTGAGATACAGAAATTTTTCTGGATTTTCATGCCCTCAGATCACTTGGAAAATTGACTTTAAACTTTGCATGAACAAAGTTCTTAATAGAATTTCGAATATTGAATATCTCAGGATAGGATGTGACCTGAGTGGAACGACAGCTCTTTTTGTTGAAAAATTCAGTAAAATTTCGATATCATATGAACGAAGATCTCGGAAAGCAAATCATCCTGGACCTTTCTTTCAATCGAAAAGCGTTTTGCAACCTGAAGGGATTTCTTTGTTAGTTCGAAACACAATGGTGTCTACTCTCGATACTACTATCCATTTCAAGTATAAAGCGCTCCATTGCTTCTTTATATAGGTTTGGATAGGAACGTCATAGAGATCTGCGGCTTTAACCGCTTAAGAGAGAAGGCCTGGGTCAATCCAAATTCGATTAATCAGTAATTGACTGATCGGGTGAGTTCTTGGTGGAGATTTTCGGAAATGATATTCTAAAGTTATTTCTCTTTCGATCTACGCAAGGCTGGCATTCCTGGCTTGTTCTGTTCGACAGTTATAAGACTTTCAATTTTAGCCAACTGACATATGATCATTTGGAAAAGCAGCTAGACAGGGATGATTGACCAAGTCGACTCGAACGGTAATATTTGTTTTAGATTCGAACTAATTTGATACTTTTATCTCAATATTTCTGAAATGTTGACTTCCTCGCTGCGTGGAGGCTAATTGTGAAATATCAAAAGTACTGAGATATCGATATCAGCTCATTTCGAATCTAAAAAAAGCATCATGATAAATCGAATTATTATAAAGTGCACCTCTCTAGCTGCTACTCTATATGATCACAGATTGAATGGCTGAAATCGAAAGTCTTATAACTCTCGAAAGGAACCAATTAAAAATATCGGTCTTGCGTAAACCGAAAAAGAAATAACTTCAGAATATCGTTGTGAAAATCTCCACGAAGACTTTATCTGCTTGGTCAATTGCTGACCAATCAATTTTCGATGACTTCGGATCTTCTCTCTTGAATGCTGAAAACCACATCTCTTCATGATGTTACTATCGAAAGTTATTTAAACAACAGCGAAGCACATTATATTTTGAAATCGATAGTAGATAAAATTTTCTACATTGTTAATATTTTTCTTTCAGGAATTATCTGAAGCTTTAGCTCAAAATGCGCATGAAATCTGGGCAAAACAAATGAAAAATCGTCTTACTGCCATTGGTAAATATTCACTTGAAAAATCTTCTTCTAAACTTTCATTCTTTTATCTTTAGGTGGTGGTCTTCATTCTCGACTTGTTCCTTATGATTTATTAACAGATAAGGAAAAACAAAAAGATTTAAAATTTTATCAAGATCTTATTAAATATCTTAATATATTTGGTTATCGTGCTGTCAAGTAAAAGCAAAACCCGAAACAATTAAAATTCATATATATTCTATTTGATTTCTTTAGAAAAACTCGTGAAGAAGAAACATTAGCTAGTGCAATAGCTGCACTTATTCCACCAGCGCCAACATTAACACCAACAAGTATATCTCAAACAAATGAAAAACGTTTTGCTTATAGTTTATTAGAAAAATTACTTGAATATGTTGAACGTGCATCATCAACAATGCAAAATTATAAAGAAAGTTCAAAATTTTCATTACATGAAAGTTATCGTTTATCAACAAAGGATGTGAAATTTTTTGGAAAAGTAAAAAAAGAAAAGAAAAAAAACATTGAAAAACAGTAGATTTTTTTTTAAATAAATTTCTTTAGGTTGTTTTACCACTTGTTGAAAAATATTTTCAAGCACACAGAGAATATTTTATAACACCATCATCATTAAAAACTGGTACCGGTTATGCAACAGTTAAAGAAAAAGAAATGAGTTGTAGTCTGTTTTGTAAATTGGCATTTTTACTTCGACAAAAATTTAGTGCATTTGGAAATGAAGTTAATATATCTGTTCGTTGTCTTAAAGTACTTGTACGGGCAATTGATGTTAGGTAATATTAAAGAAACTTTTTATTGAAGATTTTATTTAATTATGTTTTTTCTTTTGAATTTTTAGTTCGGTTATGAAAAATAGTCAAGAAATGGTTCGTGCATCATTATTACCATTGTTTAATAATATTGCCGAAGATCTTAATCAAACAGTACAAAATCTTGAACAAAGACGTTATAGTCATGTTAAAGGAACTTTACAACGTGGTACAACCAGTCTTTCATATGTACATATGGTACTTTTACCAGTGCTTTCATCAATGCTTGATCATTTGGGAAGGAATAATTATGGTGTTGATGTTTTTGGTAAGATGTTATTCTCTATATGTACAAAGCTTCAGATAAAAATTCGAAAATATGAGTTTTTCGAAAAACAGGTGTCTCTAGAGATTAGAAAGAAGGAAGAATTCCCTTACTATCTTTCAGCTATCTCGTAGTAGATTCAATAGTTCGATATCTTCTTTACAACTCATACTAGTTGTAGCTTTGAACAAAAAGTCAGCATGATACAGAGTTTTTGCGCTTTTCATGGACACTAACTAGCCACAAGATCAAGTCTATGTCACAATGCAATTAGCACGTTATTGGATGGCTGATCCGAGACAAATAGTCGTTAATGACTTGTCCAGGGTGATTTCGTGGCCGATGGTGCCAAGGTTTGAATACACTATCTTGTAATCATGTGTCGAACTACGTATGTACTCAGCCATGATGGCTCTAGAAACAAGACTAGACATGTACGGGACCAACTTTTTTTTGAGGTTCCACCCCATGTCTAAACTAGATATATTCGAAAATCGATAGTTTGATCAAATTTGAATAGGAACCCAAATCCTTTTAAAGCGTTTATTCTAATAGAATATCATCTCTAAAGGCAAAAAATCACTGAAATCAGAAGGAGAAATGCTTCGTTAGTCAATAATTGAGACAGTGTAATATAGCAAGCAGAGGTTCAAATACATCTAAGAAAAGTAGATTTGGCCTGTGTATTGTATTTAATAAGATTTTCAGAGGGCTTAACCCCTCTGGCTATAATTCATGATCCTACTGCTAGTCTGCACTTGTCTTTGACAAGCAGACTTGGTGATCTATTACAGTTCATTCCTGACAATATCTTTATACTCACATGTTTTTTCTTTATTAGAAAATGAAATTCAATTAGCCGGTTATAAAATTCTAAATGCTCTTTGGATTATTGGTACTCAAGGAACGAAATTTGTTGATCGGTATATTTCATTTTCTTTTGTTATCTATACATACTAATTCATTTTCATAGAGAATGGATTATTGAAGAATTGAATCGTCATCGTCCATTACTTGGTGATTGTCTAAGTTCATTTGCATCTTGTTTTCCTGTTGCATTTTTTGAACCTGAATTTAATATAAATAATAAAAATGCATCAAACGTTTCACAATTATCACCTGAAGCTAATGGTAAAAATTTGTTTTTTTTAAACATAAAAATCTTATTTATTTATTTTCATTCGAAATAGATGTTATGACAAATGTATCAAGAACAATTCCTCATTTAACTAAAGTTATATCAGAAATTGAAGAACATGCTGAATCTCGTGCAACATATGAAGATGCACCTCATGTTGTTGAAGTTATTCTTCCATGTGTTTGCTCTTATTTACCATATTGGTGGTCTGTTGGACCACAAAAAAATAAACAATCAACCGAGTATAACAATTTTTCTTATATTAATACATTGTGAAATGTTTTGTTTATTTTGTGAAACACGATCTAAAAGTATTATTGAACTAAAGAAGTAGAAATTCGAATCTACTCCTCACAGACTATCATAACAGAGTCCAAGAATTTCTGAGCTCGAACCCGATGGACTCTACATGGCACACATTATCCAAAGACCATTATAGACTGTGATAGATGTTGCTAATATACTAAAGAAATATCTCCCAAAATAGATAAAATAACACAATCTCTCTGTGATTAGCAATAGCAGCTATATCGTGTTTCACATTTTAATTGCACAAGAATTGTGCTAACAGTTTTTTGTTTTTGTTTTAGGCCTAAAATAACAAATGTTACAGTTGATCATATGAATTCAGTATTAGGTAGTGTGTTAAAATTAGTTAATAATAATATTGATGCAAATGAAGCTCCATGGATGAAACGTATTGCAGGTAAAATCACATTTTCTAAAATTTATTAGTCTATTTAGTGTTGTTCTTGTTTTTTGAAGTATATACACAAGCAATAATTCTTAATTCATCTACAAGCCTTTTGGAACCATATTTCTTACCTGTATCGGAACGCTTAAAAATTAAATGTGAAGATTTATATGCACAAGAACAATCACTTAAACATGCTACACGTTTAGAATCATCTGAACGTGAAGATCTTGAATCAAATTTAATGAAGGTAAATTTGAAATAAAAGAAAAAAAATCATTTAAGGAGATTCTCCCTTCTGTTTCATGACTCAAAAATTTTTGTTTATTATTATGGCGATTGTATAGTCTTATTGTTTACCTTCCAAAAAATATTGTTCTGCTGATTTTGATAATTCTATTTTTTTCCCGAAACCTTGGAAACACCGTTGTATCTTTTACATAAATCTATAGAAAAATTTTTCATTGTAGAATTATGAAATTCTTGTTCGTGATGTTTATGCCTTTGGACCATTATTAATAAAATATGTCGATATTCATCGATCATATTGGCTTAAAAATGGTGATATACATGCTGATCATTTATATCGTAATATGGCTGAAGTATTTTCAACTTGGTGTAAATCAAAAGTAAGTTTTAAAAAATCCTCGAATATTAAAATAATTCTTATGAAATATTGTTTTTTTTTCTCATAGTATTTTAAACGTGAAGAACTTAATTTTGTAACACAACATGAAATAGATAATACAAGTATGTTAATGCCAAGTGGTACAAATCAAACAACAAATACAACAGCAACATCATCAGATACAACAATGAAAAGTTATTCAGATGCATCCAGTAATAGTACATCAGGTGGAAAATTAAAACGAAAAAAACGTCGATTAGATAAAGAAAAATTTACATCATTAAGTGTAGCTTGTATTAAACGTTTATTACCTATTGGAATGAATACATTTGGTGGACGAGAACAAGAACTTGTTCAATTAGCTAAACATAAAATGATTGAAGTAAGAAACTTTTTAATACAAAATTTATATCGAATTCTGTTTAAACCACAGTCTTAGAAAGACCCTGAACAAATCACTAATGACTATTTTTTTTTAGACTATCCGTAGGATAGCATATTGGCCATACATTTTGCTCTTGTAACTAGTTAGTGTGGATGTAGAGTGCAAGAACTTTGTGTCAGGATGACCTTCTGTTCAGAGCTACAGCTAGTATTAGTTGTCGGGAAGTGGTGACTCAGTTGATAGGCCTACACTTCTAATAGTAATTTTTCAAGTTAAGAAAGTTTGACAAGAATATTTTTAGAGATGTTTTCTTTATGGATTTTCCTCTTTCTCACTTATTGCATGTGAAAAAATATCTGTAAAAAATATCTGTAGTTTAGAAATTGTATGTTATTTTATTGTGTTTCAACATACAAATGATACGAATAAGAGTGTTATCAAAAATATAAATACAGTTCAACCTCCTGAAGTCAATTATTTCTGTTTTGAGGAAATCCTTTGTATTGAAGAACTTATTTTGTATATTGGGAAAAGTCTTTGCACAATGTCTAGGGTGTGGGTATGGATGTGGAGACGGCACAATCAGATCCACACCAACAACCATTTGTACTTTTTCTACTGATTAAGAGGAGAAGTTCTGAAAAACAGTCGGTATCTGTTTTATTTTTACATGATCCTACCATAAAAATTAAAAGAACTAGAGATAACTCTTATTCTGATATTTTTTTTATACAACTGAAAGCTGTTGTTAAAAAAGCTTTTGTTCCTGTATTGTAAAATTCTCGATCAATTTTCATAGACTCTAAATCTTACTCGGCAAATTGGTATACGGTAGTTTTAATCAAAATACTAAAGAGTGCTACATGAAAAGTCCTCTACAGACAACGATTTTAGTCTTTATTAAAGGTCGCATTGTAGAAAAACTTGAAAAAAAGGTTTACAAAACTTCAGAGTTTCTTAAATCGTTTCAAATTGTAACATTTATGAACAATCTCGAGAGTTTCCATAAAAAACAAACGATTTCTGAAAACCGTAAATCCTTTTTTTTGTTTCTCTACATAAGAGATATTTATTGATCATTGTTTTGTACTTGGTTAGTTTCAGAATGAGATAAAAAGTGAATACGAATTAAATTTATAGTTCTATATCGAAATGAAATTTAATAACAAGTATATAAATGATTTTGTTGTTTTTCTTTCCATTAGATGAAAATCGCACATGATGAAAAAATTGAAAATCCAACTGAAGAACAAATGGTTTTAGATTTAACGGTTTGTTGTTTACTATCGTTTTTTTACACATGTTTTTTAAATTTATTTCAATACAGAGTGATCAAGAGGAAAATGTTGAAGAATTTCTTCGTGATATTTTCTTCGCTCAAGAACAGGTACAATTCTTTTTAATCTATTTTTTTCTTATTTCTTAAACATTTTATCTAACAGGGAGAAATAGTTAATAAAAATAATTGGCAAAGTGCATTATATCGAAAGATTGGTTCTAAGTCTCATCAAACAGGTGTTATTCAATCACAAGAAACTTCAATAAAAAATATGTTAAAAATGGCTAAAGTTTTATTTGGTTTAAATTTTGTTGATCATCCGCCAACACATCGACGAGGTACATGGAGAAAACTTGTTTCATCTCAACGTAAAAAAGCTATTATGGCTTGTTTTCGTATGGCACCATTACATTCTGTACCACGTCATCGTGCTATGAATATGTTTTTACGTGCTTATCGAGAATTATGGCTTGAAGCTGAAGAAGATACACGCGCACGTTTAATTGAACATCTTTGCGTAAATTTTTTTTTTGTTTTTAAAATTTAACTTTCATTAAAAAAAGAAATTTACTTTTTAAAGGAAGAATATCAAGAAGTAAATGATCAAGAAGTAACAACAATAAAAGAAGAGAGTGAAACTGAAACTGAAAATTTAGCATTAACAACGACAATAAAACCAGATCCATTAAAACAATTATTACAATGTTTAAATCGAGCTGCAACAACCGCACAAGTTTTTTCAATTACAGAAGATGTTGTTTATCTATCGTATGCAACTATTATGAGCAAAGTAAAATTTATTCATAAAAACACAAATTAATCGACAAAAATTCTTTTTTCTTTCTTTAAATAGAGTTGTGTGATTTCAGAAGATGATGATGATAATGGAGCAGAAGAAGTCCAATCTTTTCAGGTATATCTATCAATGAAAAGTCTTGGTAGAAAATGTTTAGTCAAGTTTTTACCATTGACAAGGGAAGTCCCTCTCATTGATAATTCGCTTATGTGTAGTATGTAGACTCTAATGGGTGATGAGTACTTCGAAAAGAGTTCGAGCGCATAGCTTGCTGCATTTTTCAATACAATGCCGTGGTTCTCCTTATGACGCAATCACTCGAGGTGATACCTCAAATTTAAGATAAGACCTCAATCATTACGGAGAATCTGCTGAGACAAGAAGAAATCAAGAAGAATTCTTTCCCATGTGTTGTCCCTTTGGAGGTATGGCCGGTACACATTGAGCTTTTACTGCTGGCATAGTACTTACACAAATTCGAACAAACGAATTTGGGCCTAAACCTTTAAGCATAGACAGCATAATATTCGAAAACTTAGGTTTTTTTCGTCGATTTGATATCTTCAGAAGATACGACTCGTTTTGACTGAAATTTTTTAGGAGGCTCTAATGATTTCACGAGCAGTCTACGAGTAAAGTTTTAGGCCAAAATTCTTTTGTCTAGTGTTTGTATACATACTATGTCAAAGGTAAAAAGCTTCAGTGCAACGGCTATAATTTCAAAACAGCAGTGCATTGGAAAGAATCTTTCTAGGTTTCTTCCAGTCTCAATAGATCCTTCGTAATGACTGGGGGTCTCCTCTCAAACGCAATGTATTACCTCGGGCGGTTCCCTCGTTAGGAATACCAGAAAAATTAATTTTGGAATTTCAACTTCAAACTTTGCATAGAAACACGCCGTAACAAGAATAGTTAATAATGAAAGCATCGAGCATTTTGATGTATTTTTCTCTTGAAATACGAACATCGAATCTGTGGGTGTATATGAGCAATGTAAAAGACGCGCTTTTACTATGACTGTGTCTTGAGGTAGGAACCACAAAAATATCTAAAATTTCGCAATAATTAGCTCTCATTAAGGTTTATGCCTATGCAAAGTGTCAAGCTGAAATTTTCTAATGTCTCTGAGGGAGAACATAACATTGACTTAAAATTACCGTAATAATAAAGTGTCTCGGCAGCAATAAGCTAAGGGCTCGACATTTTTTCAATGTATTCACAACTCATTAGGTTCTACATCAAGTGAATAGTCTCAACTGAAAAGTGATTAGTCGACTGGGAGATTTCTCGGCTATGCTCTGTAGCTCGACAATTCTTTTATGTCCATTCATATATTTGTTGAAATTTCAATTCTGGCTGTTTACTTTTTATACTTTCCAGTAATGTTTAAATGAAAAACAACTGAATAAACATTTTCTACCAAGATTTTCTTGTCATAGATTAAAATATTTGGAAAAAAACAACGTTGTGTTTTTCTTTTCAATAATTGAAAGACTATTGAATGTTTAGATATCTTCTTAAAGAAACTATTGTCTTTTTTTTTCATATTTAGGAACAAGAAATGGAAAAACAAAAATTACTTTATGAACAAAATCGTTTAGCTAATCGAGGTGCTGCTGAAACTGTATTATTATATATTAGCGCAAGCAAAGGTTTGTCATTAATTATTTAATATTTATTATTATTATTATTTAATTTTTTAATTATTTAGGTGAAAATAATGAAATGTTACAACGAACATTACAACTTGGTATATCATTATTACATGGTGGTAATCGTCAAGTTCAGAAAGTAAAACATTTAGTTTCTTTTTTGATTTCATATTTTATTATGAATTATTTTTAATTAATTTATAGCGAATGTTAGATTATTTAAGAGAAACAAAAGACGTTGGATGTTTTACATCATTAGCAACATTAATGGCAAATTGTAGTGTACTTGATCTTGATACATTTGAACGTTGTATTAAAGCTGAAGTACTTGGTATGTTAACTGTTAATGATTGAGATATTTATTAATATTAAAACTGATTTTGATTAAGGTGTTGGTGCTGATGGAATGGCTGGTGAAAAAAATTTACATGATGCTGATTTTACAATATCATTATTTCGTTTTTGTCAACTTTTATGTGAAGGACATAATCTTGAATTTCAAAATTATCTTCGTTCACAAACAGGAAGCAATACAAATGTTAATATTATTATTTGTACTGTCGATTATTTACTTAGTTTACAAGTAAATAAAAACAAAAAATAGCACACGTTTTTTTCATTTTTACTTTTCTCTCTTTCTAAGGAATCATTAATGGACTTTTATTGGCATTATTCAGGCAAAGAAACAGTTGATGCACATGGAAAAGAAAACTTTTGTCGAGCTATTAATGTTGCTAAACAAGTTTTTAATACATTAACTGAATATATTCAGGTTCGATATAATACAAAGCTAATCTCAAATAATAATAGAAAACTATTTTTCGTTTACTTTTTTTATTCATCATGCATATTTAATTAAATAAAAAAAAGACAGATAGAACTTTCATATAGTCATAAAATTCGAAAGCATAAAATTAACTTTATCTTTCAGCTAACATTGCTGATATTCGTTGCCGAAGATAGGAATCGGTCTAAGTGGACTTGACCGCTGGGTAACCGACACTGGTTCGATCTCTGGTCGATATTACACATAATTTTATTAGCTCAATATCTCTCAAAGACTTATGACACAAAATTTCATTGTTTGAGCATAATAACCTCACTGCAAGCTGTTTCGGAAGAATCAAAATATACTGTTCAACCCATGAGTGACTCGTTCAAGATTATTTAGTAAAATTCAAACATAATATTTTAGAAATGACATTAAATCAATAGTTTTTTTTTTTTCTTTCATTCGAATATATCAATATTAAACGTATGAAATACTAGCGTGATGTTTTTTTTTCTAGGGTCCATGTCCACAAAATCAATTGGCATTGGCAAATAGTCGATTGTGGGATGCAATCTCAGGATTTCTCTATATTTTTTCCCATATGCAAAGAAAATTATCCCAAGTAAACTATTATCTATTTATTTTTCGATTATAAATTTCATAATATATTCAGGATCCATTACAAATTGAATTATTACGTGAATTAATGAAATTACAAAAAGATATGATTATTATGTTATTATCAATGCTTGAAGGTATATCATATGATTTTTCTTTTGTTTGTAACAAATAATAATTACTTTTTTTTCATTTTCAGGCAATGTTCTCAATGGTCCAAGTAATTTATTTTAATAGATTTACATATTTTTTAGAAAAATATATGTTTTTATTTATTAGTTGGTAAACAAATGGTTGATACGTTAATTGAATCTCAAGCGAATGTTGAATTATTATTACAATTTTTTGATATATTTCTAAAAATGAAAGGTTTAACAACATCAGAAGCTTTTCAAGAATTCGATACAAATAAAGATGGTTTTATTTCACCAAAAGAATTTCGTCGAGCTATGGAAGCACAAAAAATGTATACAAGGTAAAGTATTATTTTCGAAGAAAAAATAAAATATTTTGTTTTTTTAAATTTTTAGTCAAGATATTGATTATATATTAATGTGTGTTGATACAAATCAAGATGGAAAAATTGATTTTATGGAATTTACAGAACGTTTTCATAATCCAGCGAAAGACATTGGTTTTAATATGGCTGTTTTATTAACTAATTTATCTGAACATATGCCACATGATACACGTTTACAACGTTTAATGGATAAAGCTAAAAGCTTTTTATCATATTTTCAAGATTATCTTGGTAGAATTGAAATCAAAGGTGGCGGTGGTTATATTGAACGTGTTTATTTTGAAATAACGGAATCAAATATTGAACAATGGAATAAACCACATATTAAAGTTTGTTTTATTAAATTGTTTCATTTTATTTATTATGATTTTGAAATTTTTCATTTAACTTTAGGAATCGAAAAAAGCATTTTTACATTTAGTTGTTAATGAAACAGATGATAAAGAAAAATTAGAACAATTTATTAATTTCTGTGAAGATACCATTTTTGAAGTAAGAATTTAAATATGTGAGATAGAAAAATTATATTTCCATCTAAAAAAGCTCTATGGGGATGAAAAATATTAATTCAAGTAGGACACATGTACAAAAAATCGCTGGTATACCGACAATTAACTAGCAGTGGTTCACTACTTAAATGGTCGATTATCATCTGACCGCCATGTTACTGCGATATACTGATAGTTGCTTTCCAACTCGAAATCTGTTGTCGGTATACCGGCGAGAATGCTACAGATACGATCGGAGACGAAAATTTGTACAAGTGCAATACACTAATATTCACATATTACGCTGGAATACAAAGTTTAAGCGTATCATTTTGTTTTCAAAATTTAATTATTAATAATTTTGTATTCATAACATATGAATACTTTACGAAAGATGTTATATTTCATTCGAAAAAAATGTAACATAGAAGAATCTATCCCATCGTCAGGACAAACATAATTAGAAAATGTAACACTATCTAAGGAAGTTATGGGACGGATAAATCCCATTTGAATCAAGCCTATGTGCATTGTATAAAGCCGAATGAGCTATGAATACTCTAAAAAGAGTTTTATGCTCTTAGCTTATTACCACAGAGATACTGTACTTTTGTAAATATTTTGCTAAATGAATACTGTGGTAACAGAAAAAGTGACTTTCAAAATTCACTTTGAAACTTTCCAAAAACATAGACCTCAACGAGAGTAGTTTTTGGTGAATATTTCAGATATTGTTGCTGTTTCTACCATAAACTACGACGATGGTAATATCGTGTCTTTTATATCGCTCATATAAACCGACAGATTTTATGTTCTTGTTTAATGATAGAAACAAATTAAATGTTCTGAAACTATTCTCAATGATGTCTATCTCTATGCAAAGTTTCAAGTCAAAATTCGAAGATTAGCTTTTCTATTAGTTCAGTATTCATTTAAAAAGTATCATAAAAGCAAATTATCTTCACACTGATAAGCTAAGGGTGCGAGCTCCTTTTTAGATATTCATTCATAGCTTATTTGGGTTAAATGAAAATATCAATAAATAAAGATGTCTTATCAGTGAATTTCTATTTAGATGCAACATGCTGTTGCTCTTAGTGGTGAAGAAGATGATCAAGTAACTCGTGCAGCAACATTTCCAGATGCTGAAACAGGTGCTGGTCATCTGACAAAATCGGAACCAGTTAAATTAGTCTTATCATATGCTTGGTCTGGTATAAAAGGTCTTTTTCGTTTACTTCATCCATCAACAATACGTCATGGTTATCATCAATTTCGTCAAATGACATTTAAAGATATGATTAAAAATCTATTTTTATTATTAATCAAATGTATTCGTTTATTATTTGTAATAATAATCTATGCTTTAAGGTATGTAAATAAATGTAGTTTAATGCATGAATTTGCAGTGATAAATTTTTTCTTCAGTTTGCATGTTTTTCTGATAATGAAATGTTTATTAACTAAACGTTCATATCATCGTTTGGTAAAAATATTTCATCGATATAATGATAAACTAAATAAAAATTCATTAAAATATCATCAAGATGAAGATAATCATTCATTATTATATATTTCAAAACATTCGAATACGTCAAATACTGATTATTATTTTTTTAATAAACGATCAAAGAATTTATTTTTCAATGATAAAAATTTATCTCAACGTCATTATCATTCCATACAAAGATTGAATAGTTCAGATATAGATCCTAGAAGAAAACGGTTTGTTTTTTGTTATATGTTATGCTGTAATGGATCTTGTTGTTATCTTTTTGTTTGCTTGTGTAATTTTTATTTTATCACAATTTAAAAAGAAAACTTAATTTGTTATTCATTTCTATAGAACATTAACTTATTGTGTTTGGAATTTAATGACTGGTGAAGATCAGCAAGATAGAAAAACAGAAAAATTTGCTTTACCACCACCTACAAAACGGCGTGATCTTCATTTACGTAAGTTTTTAGTATATGAGCAATTCCATTCGTTAGCTAAGTGATTTCTCAAAATAATAATGCTTATGTATCTGATCTTGGACATTTCTTTTAGCTAATTTTTATATATAACAGATCTGTGTTGAGTTACTGTCAGTACTCTGAAAAACTTAGTCCTATAGACATTGGTTCTAGCTAGTATTAGAGACTTGAGAAGGAAACGGAAGAAAGGTTTTCATTGCATATATTACTATGTACCAATTATGAGAAGTTCAAATACAAATTCTAAATGTTACTAATTTTCCTTGACGATCACGAGGTGATAGCAAAATACAACTTATCGTTTTCTGGTACAAGAGCAGACTTCTAGAAAACCAGTTTTGGATAAGCTATTTCTTGAAGCCTGATCTTTCTGAAAATTTCAACATACACTTAGCGAAAGCATGAAGTCTACTGTGAAATTCTGGAATATCTCTATCATACTATGAGAGAGTTATTCGTTAATCACATATTAATTAATTAATCAATTAACTGGTTGGCTTGTTAGTTAAATTTAATGAATTAACGAATTAAGCTTAAACTAGATGTGACACCAAATCGAAGACGATCATATCTTATCTTCGCTAATTTTGTTCATATGTATTCAATAAAATTTAATTTGAATTTCTTTTTCAGCTTCAGTTAGTATAGCACAAATTGGATTTACTGCTAGTGAAGAGTCAATACCAATGAATGCGTTTGGTATTGATTTTAGTTCTGATCCATTACCAAAACATAAGTAATAAATTTTATTTAATATATTGTCTCATTTTCTCGTTTATATTTATTATAGGATGTCGTTAACTGATGAACAAATAAATATACTTAATTTTGATTCTGTTCAAACATTTGACGCAGATCAAAAACCTTTGATTGTTAATAATATTGATTCGTCAACAGGACAGTCATTACCATCATCAGTTAGTACAACAGCACATCTAATGCCATCAGCACAGCATATGCCACATCAACATTCAATAACAGCTACTATATCAAATCAACCACAATTAACGACAACAATGAATATACCATCAAAGGTTATTGAGAAATCTAAACAAGCACTTGAAGTAAATTGATAATAATTTTAATTGTTATTCCAAAAAAAACATATTTAATTTATTTATTTTCTAAAGATTAATGTTCAAGCTGAATATCAACAGAAAAATCCGACACTAACTCCTAGTTTAAGCACAGTAGATGATGATGATTTTATTCCACCTGAACCACCACCAAGAACTGATTATGGAAAGAAAGCTTTGGTAAATATAACTAAATGTTCAAAAACATTACACTATTTGTCAAAAATATAAGATCAATGCTATTTTTTGTATCACAGAAAAAAAATCAAAAATACATTAACCTTATATTTTTGACCAGTACTGTAAATACTATTCTATTGGATTAGTAAACTTTTTGGACTAAATTTGATTAATATCATCTTGTGTTTTGTTAAATAGGCATTAGTAGCAAGAAATTATCATCAATTAAAATTTATGGCTCTTTGTCTTGCTTTTGTAATCAATTTTCTAATGCTTTTCTATAAGGTAGCATTAATTGAATAAACAGACGATAGTCTTTATTTGAAAACTCTAGGCTTTGCCATTAGTTACAGCAGCTGAAGAACCAGTGCCATCGGATGCAGTTGAACGTATTGATGACGATGAAAATGAAGTAATTATGATGGATCCAAAAAATTATTATATGGTTTATCTATTACAAATAAGTGCATTTTTACATTCATGTGTTGCATTTCTAATGATGATTAGTTATTATAAATTAAAAGTATGAATTCGATTTATATGTGTGTATTTTTTTAAATATAAAAATATTCTTTTTTTTGTAGGTTCCTCTGGTTATATTCAAACGAGAAAAAGAAATAGCTCGAAAATTAGAATTTGAAGGTGCTTGGTTAATTGATCAACCAAGTGACAATAATTCATGGATATTATCCTATTTATCGCGCGAATGGCATAAACTTGTTATAAGTTCTAAATCGTTTCCTGATTCATATTGGGATAAATTTGTTAAGAAAAAAGTTCGAAATAAATATTCAGATCAATTTGATTATGATGAATTAAGTCGATTTTTGGGTATGGAAAAAAATGATACACCTGGAAAATTTGAAATTGTTAAACCAGTTGAAACTGGTTTATGGGGAAAGTATGTAAACACAACAAAAAAAAGAATAATATTTATAAGTAGTTTTATTGTTCTTATTTAGAATTAAATCCGTCGATATGCGTTATCAAGTATGGAAATGGGGTGTCATTTTTACGGATAATGTGAGTAATACAAAATAATTTTTAAATAATATCCATCGAATCTAAATTCAAAAGGAAGACGATCGACTCCATTACAATAGTAATAGTGATGATAAGATACAGATAGTACAATACGGAAGAATAGATTATCTTTCGCCTACCTTGTCGTATAGAATATTACGCGAATAGAGGTTTTTGAGTTCGATATATTCTCTAAAACTATTATTAGCTATAGCTCTGGGCAAAAGGTTGATCTACCTCTGAGTTCTCTCCTTCAATTACTTGAATTTCACAAGGGTGGATGGATGCCACTATGTATGCACTGTGCTATTGAATGGGTAATTCTAGTCAATGAATATACAAAAAAAATGCGCACAAAATAGCGTATTCTAATTATACCCATGAGACGATCTTACATTTGGTGATAACCTCTCGGAGCACTGCTCTTATTAAGCTTACTTTGAACCATACTGAATGGTTTTTTTCTGCTGTTTTCTTTGGTAATCATCTTTCGATAAGTAAATAAAAAGGTCATTCTGTGATGAATAAATCCGAGATCATTAAATGTGCTTGTATATACATGAATTGATTTTTCAGGGCTCTTCACATATTCAATCGAACGTTTCCAATAATGCTGTGTTCGTTATATACATAAGCTTTTAGAAAATGTTCACTTCTCTAAAAACTAATCAATATCAACCTTTTGAAAACAGGTGTAGCATCTCGATGTATTTTCTTTCTATAGAAGCAAAGAACGAATTCATATGCGCCACTATATGAACACATCATCTCTTATTTAGTATTGGTTATTAAGAATGAATAATCATTTCCTATTTCATTTTTTTCCATGTATATTTCATGTTGCATGTTTGTTCGCACTACCGATGGCATATCGACAGTAGATTGCCGGCTAGAGGATAGGTGACTGCTTCAGTATCGAACTATCGTGGATCGATGGCCATCCTATCAACGATTTTTGTCCAGTTTGAATCACATGGAACATATATAAATAAAGTGAATTCTTCCAACGAAACGATTTTTTGTTTCTTATTTGCCTAAAAATGTACGACAGTTTCTTTAGTGGATCTTCTCATATAGAATATTTCGTGTTTTTCTTTTGGGCGATAAAGAACTTAACAAATAATATCGATCTTTATTTTTTTGTTCTAGTCATTTCTCTATGTCTTCTTTTACTTTATTTTTTCCGTTATTGGCAATTTTTCATTTTTCGTCTTTGCAATTCATTTACTTGATGTTGCCATCAGTGTTAAAGCACTGAGTACTATCTTAAAATCCATTACCCATAATGGTCGACAGGTAAACTTTATTTAAAAATATTATATTAGTACAATAACAAAATCTTTTTGTTTATTTAGTTACTTCTAACAATAATGTTAATGGCTGTAGTTGTCTATCTTTATACAGTTATTGCATTTAATTTCTTTCGTAAATTTTATACGAAAGAAGAAGACGAAGAAAAAGAAGAAAATTGTAAAGATATGTTTACTGTAAGTAAAAACCAATGATGATAATTATTAAAAGACTAATATATTTATTTAATTAGTGCTTTAAATTTCATTTGTATTCTGGTATTCGAGCTGGTGGAGGTATTGGTGATGAACTTGAATCACCAAATGGAGATCCACTTGAATTATATCGAATTATTTTTGATATAACATTCTTCTTTTTTATTATCGTTATACTTCTTGCTATCATTCAAGGTTAGATTAATATGCTAATAATACTTTTTTCATAAAATAATACAAAATTTCAGGTTTGATTATTGATGCTTTTGGTGATCTTCGAGAACAACTTGATTCTGTTAAAGAAACACTTGAAGTAAACAACAATGCAAATTCTATTGTATTATTCTTATTCTTATTTATATTTTAGTCAAAATGTTTTATTTGTGGTATTGGTCAAGATTATTTTGACAAAGAGCCGCACGGATTTGAAGTAATAAATAAATAAATAAATAAATATATATGGACCATTTCAGGCGAAATGAGATATACCTACCGTTCATTTTTACTTAATTCTTTACAAGCCTTATTTCTGTTAATAAGCTTTTTAGCATAGACACGCGTAAAAATATTGACTCTTCCAGTTGACTATTAATTAAAATTAACTAATTAACTAATAGATTAGGCAACTATTTAATTAATTCATTTAAAAGTAATTAGCAAGTATTTATCTAGCCATGAACAAAGGTCTCTAGTACTGATTTTTTCAGAGTATCTAAAGTTAACATACATGTAACATATAAAAAGTAGCTCTAGAGAAGTTCATTATCTCGAGATATACGTGTTTTAATTATGTGATGTTACATTCCTAACAAATGGTTTTTATCCATATGTGTTAAAATAAAATTCACTTTTGTTCTTTAATTTAAGACACATACAACAGCCGAACATAATTTTGCAAATTATATGTTCTTTTTAACACATCTTCTAAATAAACCTGATACCGAACATACTGGACAGGTTAGTCTTATTTAATAAAAATAATAAAATTTTTTTTTTGTTTTTATCAAAATAGGAAAGTTATGTTTGGGAAATGTATCAGAGTCGTCGATGGGATTTCTTTCCTATTGGAGATTGTTTTCGACGTCAGTATGAACCGGGAGGCGGCGGTGCAACAACAGAAAGTTAATAAGATTTACTTTGACTTCTTAGCCTCACCGGTGATTTTTATTTGCTTCTAATAATCAAGGTGCTAATTTCTTTCTTTCTTTTTTTGTTTGTTTGTTTGTTTGTTCTTATCGCTACAAGATGAATTACAACAAAGAGGCTAAATGATTTGTGTCACTTTATTTTCTGAGATCACACACGTTCTTGCACTATTTTTGCACAATTTGTACGGTTTTTTAAAAAATTATATCGCATTCACAGTCATTTATCTTTGTGTGTGATTAGGACAATGTTTTAATTCAATAAAGAGAATTTACCCCGACCAATTATAAAGAAATTTGTTTTATTTAAATTCTTAGATTAAGTTTTAAAATAAATAATATGATAACTATATATATATATATATTTGTTTTCTTTTTTCGTAAGTGTATTACAGAGGTGTGTTTGTACGTCGAGTTTCTTTTGCATCATTCATTAGATAAGATAAGATCAAATGGCAAAAAATACTTGAAGAAAAAGTTCGTACTTAGTATAACAATAAAATGTTGTTTGACGTATTGATATCTATTTTCAATGGTTTTTATTACACAAACAAGTTCGTGTGATTCAACAAAAGAGTACTTGTGATGTCTCGAAAGTTTTATTTTTTATTTTAGTCTATTAAAGCTTTTTTTCATAGATCAAATTTGATAATATTTTACTTTTAAACAAAACCGATATATCGAGCTATTGGAATGTTGTTTTTTTATGATGTCATACTATTATTGTCTAATGCAACAGTTCATTATAAGAGATATGTTTGTCTCAATATAGGTTATCAGCATAAGATTTTCTACATAAACTTACATAGGTATTTTGAAATGTTAGCTCATGGATGAAAAATAGCATCATGAATAAAATTTATGTATTGAATTTTCGTTTGCCTAATTTCATTGCTGATATAGTGAATTCGTATAGATGATAGATTAGGAGCAAGTTTTAGTTTCAATGAATGCTAGCATATGTCAAAAATTCTAAAAAAGGTTCTAGAATATTGATTATGAATTGTGAGCTCACTCAGAAAAATAGATAAATTTCATCTAGTGCTATTTGCCATACTTTTTGTTTTTTTTTCTTTCAATGAGAAAAACAAAGCTTAGACTATTAAATTTAATCTTTAGTTTGAATACTGTTTGTCTTAAATAAATTCCAATGAAAAGACGATTGTATATTTATATCTAATAAAAACAACTCAAATATATTTGTAGACATTACACAAACTTTATTTTTCAAACAGAACATTTCTATTTTAATCTATTTTACAGTTTGTATTCTATTATCTTTGTCTCGTTGCAAATGAAGTAAAATAAATGTGACAAAAATAGATAAGAATCATCTAGAAATTTACATGATTAACTTCTTTTTTTTTTTCGTATTCTCTTTTATTCTCTTCTTTAAAACGACATCCATAAAGAACCAAAACACGAAAACAAACATTGTAGATGATTCATACTTTCATAAGATAGTAGAGAAAATACAAAAATTGTTGTGTGTAATTCCGAGAGTCAAATATATATGTCTGCCTATTTTTAATACTCTAAATGTATTTCTCGAATAAATATGACATTGACATATAGTACTAAAACAATTTATGAAAAGTCCCGAGGTTCTGATACTACTGCAGATTTTCCACAAACAGCTTCGTCACCTGTTACTTACAAACTTCGTGCAACAGCTAATTGGGTAAAAAAGCCGTATAATAAACGAAATTTCTGGGAGCGTCTTGCTACGCTTGATCTTGCTGATGACAAATGTTACGTTGTACAACCACGAAATCCAAATCCACCACCAAATCTTAGTGTTTGGCATGAACGTATATGGTTAACTCGCATGATTGCACCAGCATTAATAATTCAAGCACTTTGGTATTATATTGTACCTGAAAATAACTTCTTTCATACTTGGCATCCTATTGTAGCATTTATTTTTTATAATTTAGCTTTGATTGCTTTTACTATTAAATTAATCAGACATCTTACGTATTATATGAATTTATATGGTACATTTGATGAACACATTACACCACGTGATTATGTTGCTGATAAAGATGTACGTCGATTGATCCTAAGTGTTCTGATTTATACAGTAGTGCGTACTGCTGGTGGTTTAATTTTCGGTGGATATAATCGTTATATTCCTCCATCACTTGGACATACTATTTCTTGGAGTTTTCCAATTAAGATTGGTCTTTGGTTTATAGTATTAGATTTTTTCTTTTATTTTTATCATCGTGCAGTTCATACATTTCATTTTCTTTGGAAATATCATAGTAAACATCATGCTACAAAACATCCAACACCAATTCAAGCGATTCTTGCTGATGATATACAAGAAATGATTGAGATTTTTCTCATTCCATTAGGTGCAACGTTAGTTATGCCATTATCAGCACATGAACTTTGGATAGCTCAATGCATTCTTATGTATGTTGAAGGAATGGGTCATAGTGGTGCACGTGCTTATTGGACTCATCCACTTATTGGTGAAATACTTCGACCATTTAAAATGGAAATTACTATTGAAGATCATGATTTACATCATCGATATGGAAAGAGTGGTAAAAATTATGGTAAACAAACAAGAATTTTCGATCGAATTTTTAATACAATCAGCGAACGTATTGAAGGCATAGAAAAATAGTTCGAAAGAATTATAACATGAATTTGTAACATAATGAACTAATTAGTAAGAATTAATATGGGTATCACTTTATCTTTGTTTTTTTATTTGTACTATTGCAAGCCATGATTGTCTGAAAATATTCTATTATTGTTATGTTTTTCTTAATTTAACATCTAATAAAATTATAATTGATATTCCTGAGTTATTATAGTAGTTAGTACATATTTTTCTTGATGGCAAGACACATTACATGTAACAAGGAATATTATACACGTAATCATAATGTAAACATAGAAATATTGTTTTGACAACTTAGACTTGCTTTTGTTGTTTCAATCAAGCTAAATATGGATAACTATTAAAAAGTCTAGAACCATCTATTGCCGCTATTTAAATTTCTAATGTATTTATTTTCGAAACAAAACGAACATGTATAACCAAGTTCTTGTTACTCATGTCCAGTCAATATCCGATACAGTCAAGACATACATACGTGTTTTTCTTTTTATATACATGTATTTAAATGATCGTCTCAAGTACTAAAGGTGTGCATATCTGATTGTTTTCTGATTTATAAAATTTTTGTCAGTTATTTTTTCCGTGAACATATTTTCGATCCAAGTCAAATATTCGCCCATTAGGTCCAATCAAACATTTAGTTGGACAATGTATAGCTTTCAATTTGTATTGTGTGTTGAACCAGGAGTCGCGTTTCATTTAGCTTGACGAATCAAGTTTAGCTGAACTCTCTTATAAATTCATTCATTTCTCTCTGAAAGGATGTGGGTGGGTGGAGTGTGGGTCTAAGACGGTTGATTATCAAGATCCACACCCTTGTAATAATCATGATTAATAGCTCTGAATCTCAATCTCCAAAAACAAGTTGTACTATATCAAATTCTTCAACATCAAAATCTATAAGTGAAGCAACAAGAAACAAATAGTACGTTGCAAAAACTGTTCCAGATGAATTCTTCGCCAATGTTGTAAAAAATGAGAAAAATTGGTCAGCTAAATGTTTAATATGTGATGAAATAGTATTTAATAACATCGGTGTTACATCTAATGTTAATCGTCATGTAAAAAATTATCATCAAACTGAATATAGTGCATGGTCAAAGAAATTGAAGGAGTTAGATCGGCAGCAGCCAAAATTATTTGACTTTATTTCGAAGAAAAACTCATTAAGATCATATTCGAAACAATTTTATCCGGCTGGTCATCAACGACAACAAGAATTACACGATGCTATCGTTTAAGACTTAATAATTGAACTTGGTCTTCCATTATCGTTGGTAGAAAGACCGGAATTTATGAAATTTATGTCTACTGTTAATTTGAAGTTCAAAATTACAAGTCGATGAACTCTGAGAAGAAAAACAATTCCAACTCTTTATTACAAAATAAATGATTTATTAAAACAATTTTGTTCAACAGCAGAGTATATTTCTTTGACGCTCGATATTTGGACTGATGGAAGAACACGTTCATTTTTTAGTATCACAGGTAGATACTCCATCTTTTGAACATTTTTTACGTAATTTCGTTATTTAGGTTATGCAATTATTGATATGCAATTTAAATCATATGTTCTATCTTTTTTGCCTATAAGCGGAAGACATACTAGTGAAAAATTACTTGAGTCTTATGATTTAATTATTAATCAATTTCAAATTCAGAAGAAATTATGTAGGATAGTAGCCGATGATGCGTGAAATAATATTAAAGCGTTTGAAAATTTAATTATTCCTGGGTTTGAATCATATTGTTTTGACGATGATGGAAATGACATTGATAACAATTTATTAGATAGCAATGATAGTGGTTCAGATCAAAGTGTTGATGATTTCTAGGATAATACGACAACGTCCACTAGTATGCCAATACATGAAACATTAAATATTGTCAAAGATAGCTTGGATAATCTGGTACTCTCTAAAAAAAAATAGTATTCTCGGAAACCAAGGGAGAAAGGATTCCGAGTGTTCGGAAACCCATTTCTTGCCCTCGAGAACCCTTTTATCGGTTTCCGAGCTTTCGGAAACCCATTTTTTACCCTCGGAAACCCTTAAAACGTTTCCGATAGTAACAAACTCGTAAACCCTTAAAACGTTTCCGATAGTAACAAACTCGTAAACCGAAAAAGGTTTCCGAAGTTCGGAAACGCATGAAAGGGTATCCGAGGCTCGGAAACTCTTTTCGGTTTACGAGTTTGTTACTATCGGAAACGTTTTAAGGGTTTCCGAGGGTAAAAAATGGGTTTCCGAAAGCTCGGAAACCGATAAAAGGGTTCTCGAGGGCAAGAAATGGGTTTCCGAANTACCAGAAACTGCTCCCTCGACTTTCATTTTTTTCCAAAAA